TTTAGCTATTTTCCCCTTAAAAACAAAAATGCTGACCTCAGGATAGCACAAAAGAGAGGTTTATCCTCTGGGGACCAGTAATGGCTGTACAATGTAATTTTTTACCTTAGTCTGGACCAACTAACTGACATTAACAACCCTAGAGCGAAGACAAAGACTAAGACAAAAAAGACAATTGAAGGTATCAAATTACGAAAAAAACTGCCGATTAGCCAAAAAGGTGAGTATTTGCTTTTCTTCATTAAACCGACTGATTTGAATTACAACATAGTGTGATATAGCGACTGGTTGTAAACACTTTACCGGTAATACTCATGTTTGGGACCGTTTACGCATCAAACCTAATGTTGGGAACTTTCCTTCCAGGCCAAAAACATGAAGCCTCTGCACACACTCAGCCTGCACAGATTTGAGTTTTTTCAAAATCGACCATTTACTGTCATTTAAATAAGAATTTCACCAAGAAAACCCGTTCCCTACAAGCCTGAGAGCTAACACAAAGCCTCTTAGCTCCGCTGATGTCTTCTAAGGCGAAACACTCGTTAAGAGGTAGAAGGATTCTTGTGGCGCTTTAGAACTTTTCGAAGAGAAAAAATGTCTGCAGGCAGCAGACGCGGAGGAAAGTACCACCAGCGCTTAACAACTGCGAGTTTAAATACGTCGTTAGAGATTAATTTGGGTTACTTTGTCAAGGTAATAATTCAACTTGGCACGAATGTTCTTTCCACCTCCGATTCACCTGACGCGTGAGCCAACAAATGGGTCTTAGCGGAGACGCGGCACGTCCCCGCTGTGCAGTTACGTTGCCGGGGGTCACGGATGGGACACATTTGCATCCCGGCTGCTTTCATTTAACAACTCCGCTTCGCTGGGGCTGAGAACCGAGTGTTCGCTACATTCCAAATATTTAACCGTCCTGAATATTTGATGAAGATGGGATTTTCATTTGTGACCACAATTCGGGGCTAAAATGTGAGATAGTGGATTGTGAGGATTAACGAATGGCTTCCCGACGATAACGGGCGCGTTCGTAGCGACGAGAGACCTCCCACGCGTTGCGTGTAAAGCGTCATAAGTGGCTGCGCGTGTGCCCTGAAGACCCCCGGTGGGCCGCGATGATCGATAAGGGCGCTGAGTGACTCATCGATTGAACACAGATGTAGAGTCGCTCTCATATAGAGCCGATATGTTATGCTGAACAAACATCTTTTCTTTCGGGAAGCATGGATGAGGAAGGCAAAGTAAATTGTTTCCTCGCTGCAGGACTGTGGGAACAAGCTGCATGATAAATTGGCAGATATCCATTCCAGGCCACAGACGGACGTGCCGTTTGAAAATGGCGTTATTGGCGAGTCTGCAGACGCGGCCTATCTGGAAAACCAATGTCTGACTCCACGGCGCTGCAACACACAGCCAATGCTGTCCTTCTTTTCCTGTGTGACTGTGGCAGAACATAATTACGACACCCACGCAGTGACATTATTGCAACCCCGGCTTGCTATTTTACCCAAACATTGTGAGCCGCGGCATGATAAGTAATAAACAAAACCGTGCGGGAAAGGAAATAAGACACAGAAAAGCCAAACCATACATGCACTGGAAATGATGAATAATTGAAACTGGGAGGCATGCACACACAGATGCAGCCTTGCTATCGTGCACGCACACACACACTCACACTCACAAGGGTCCACTAAGTCTCCAGTGCCATCTAGAGTTGGTTTGCAGAGATGTGCATAGTGCATGCTAATGGATAACGCTTTTATTGATTTCATTTGGTTTTGTGTGCGTGGGCTCCACACATGTCCCCCCCCCCTGAAGTAATGAGTCGATACGTCGCTCCTCCGGCTGGCCGCTACTGACACAGCGGGAAGCTGGTCGACATCCTCACCGTGATTATCCCTCAGCGCGTTGCTGCTGCTGCTTTTCTGCATTCTCCGAGGACGTCGACAGCGTCGGTTGGTGCGGACTGCAGATGCTTTCCTGACTCTTGTTTCGCTGCTTGCTTAATGGGTTCTTTCATTTAAAGTGTTATACTTCATTTTCTATCAAACCCCTCCTTTTTATTTTTTAAATTGCCTCCCAAAATGAAATAAACTCAAAGAAATTTTGAGGGAAATAAAGGTTTGAAACATGTGCTTCACCCTGACATTTTCTTTTGACATATATGATATTTATTTATCAAAGAACTCAACAATATATTAAATGTTTTATCGTCCCCACAAATGGCTACCGATGCTGTTGAGAGCGATATTTCCTGCATCCAGTGGTCAAAAGTGGGCCACGCACAAAATCAAATCACTTTAGGACTCACACACAGGTCACATCTGGCGACCCTTTTTCCCCCCACGAGCTCGCCGGCACAAACACACGCGCAACACAAGCAGCTGTCCGTTGATGTCGAGCTTCCCATCGGCACCACTTTAGATGCCGTTTCCGTCCTTTTGCCATTTAGTGGCTCCGCCTGCCCTCGCAGCTTGGGACTCTTTTTTCCCCTCCCCCCTCTTAGGAGATCGACCACGCCGGGCCAGCGCAGAAAAAGGTACGGCAATTTTAAAATCACAGATGCTGTTCTTCTAAAAAAAGAAGAAAAAAGCTCTTGAGAGTTGGAACTGATAAAAGAACATCCAAACAGAGAGAGGCAAACTTTTAATTGGCTGCACAGCTCCGTTTTGTTGTCCCCACCAAATTCCATTTGTCAGAAGTGCAGAGTGTGTAATAGGGAGGCAGCACCTGAGACTAAAACTCACTGTAAACAACGCTGAGTGGATCCACAGTGAGTGACGGTCACCTTCCAGAGACGTCCATCCCAATTCCCGCAGAAGCTGACTGACCAATACGACACCAAGGGCTGTTTACTCACATTTTGTAAAAATCACACGGGTGATGTGTGATCACTGAATGTTCAAAGGGAGGCGCGACTCTGACCCCGAAATATCTGCACTGGCAGCGATCCGGCGTCCCATTTTCTTGGCTTTATGTTTTATTCATTCCGCCCGACTCCAGAGAGGGGAAGAGGGGAGGCGATGTTGGGAATCAGACCCGTGTTTCCAAATCAAACGACAGCGTTGCCTTATTTTCACTAATCGTCATTCAAATGAGATTGATTCGCTTCCCCGCCCCTGCGCCGTGTCGGTGTACGGCGGCGCGCGGCGGAGGGATTCGCGCCGAAAACCCCCATTTACCGCCGGAATGCGGCTGAGCGGCCCTCCGAGTTCCTGACAATAAGCTCCTGAATGCCGGAGTAGTGTTTTATTTGGCTCAATCCTACTCCGACTGTCACAAAAGAAAAGAAATCCACCCGTTTGGATCATTTGCATGCGAGCTCGGCCCGGTAATGGAATGAAATTTGACGCGGCAATTTATTTAGTCCTTTCTAATCGTCTCGCCTCGCGGTGTAAGTATCGATCCCGGCGTCTCCCTCTCCTCTCGTTCACTTCTTCATCTCCGTCTTTCCCATAAAGTATTCCGATCTCTTTCTTTCGAATTCTAAAGCCTCTTTCCCTCCCTCCTCGCGCTGTTGCTGCCTCCTCCATTTTTCCATTTTAGTGCATCCACCTCTCATCCGTCTCCCCACTTGCGCTGCCCACTCCTGCGAGCATCGGGTTGATGCACGTCAGGGTGTTTTTAGGCGAAGACCAGCGAGGCAGCGACGGATATGAGGTTGTGGGGCCCCGGGTGAAGACGGCAGCGGCGCTCTACATGCGGCCCTCGGAAGGCGGCAGGAGGAGCCCGTGGAGTCGAAAAACACACGGGAAAAAAGCTGTCAGGGATCAAACACACAGAGGTATGAAATGCCCCTTTTTAAGCATTTGAATGGAGAGGATCAGTGAGTGGCTCTCATAGCCGGATCCTTTCTGCCCGTGAAGCTCGTCTGAGTCAAAAGTGGTAAAAGAATAACATGCAGCATCGGTAAAAGCCTGCGCGCTCCGTAAACAACAGGCCGCTCCTCTCAAGGTCTAAGTGTTTCTCATGTTTTCACAGCGCTCTTAACAGGCTGAATGCCTAACAGGGGTGTCCAAACCAGAGATGAATTGAATCTCTTGCCGGCGGGTTTAAAGGCGAAAAAAAGTAAAGCACCGGCATTCCTCCTAACAGCTTTTTGTCTCGTTTGTGTTAAATGGATTCCATCGTCCCACAAGACGCGAGCATTTTATTAAGTTTTAATCAAGAATTAAGAAGACGGATCAGTCAGAGCGTCGGGCTCACCCACACGGAGAGAAGCTACGTGGGCTGTTGGGCCGCCCTGCCTTTCAGGAAGGCTGCACTTTCAACCCACTCGCTTCCCTCCTCTCCGGGGGGGAGGGGTCACATCCAATCTCCTAATGGCTTCACTCATGTGAATCATCGCAACGCGGCCTCGGCGAAAGTGGCGGCGGCGTTGGCGCGTCGTTAGCGCGGTGCAGCGCGGAGCAGAAGGAAGAGGCAGAAACGTGACCTGCCGGGGCAGAGTGATCCGACCAAGCGATGGACTCGAGGTCAGCGCCCCCCCCCGGGGCCACGGACAAGCGGGCGCAGAGGCAGCCGTAATCACCACAATGAAGTGGCTAAACTTCTGGGTGGTGTGAAATCGAACCGCGTGGAACGATGCACTAGTTGTGGAAGCCGAGAGGAGGCCGAGGCGGGGGAGCAGATGCTGCGTTTATCTCTCTGGTTGTCTCTGATTTCTTTCTTTTTTTGTTGGTCTGTGTCAGTTTAAAGGCTCTTGTGTCAATTATTTTTTGCACATCGGTACGTTTTTTTAGCTTGTAAATAAAAGGATTATTTTTGGGAGTTAAATCTGATCAATCGCAGTCTTCGTCTAATTAAAGAACTAGAAGAAGTAGCGTTTGTTTTCAATGCTAGTCGTTTAAAAAACACATCTTAGTCAAGTCATAAGAGTCACCAACTGTCTCCTAAAGAGGCAATAAACATCTTTTTACTGCCCCAAACCACAAAATGGCTACAATGCAGCATAATGGTTACGCTTTTCATCCTTATACTCCGTTTTAAAGCAAAAATACGCAAACATCATGAAGTTTATTATTCATTCTGCTGCTGTCAAACTAAATATTTCATTTGTTTCAGTTATTAATGCAATTTACAAGCCTAACGTAATGTGGGATCTCTGCTCTAATTACCCGGCTTACCTATCTATAATGAGAACAGGTCACTTAATTGTTTTTCTATTCCGAGTCCTATTCTTTTATCAATAACGAAATTACATTTTGTCGCCGTGTACGTTTTCCCATATGTTGCAAGTAATTTTGTTTCCAAAGTATTACCAAGTACTTTTATTGAGCTTTTGTTGTTTCAATTTGACACTTGAGGAAAAGAGCACTTTCGTTGCTTAAATGTTTTTTTTTACTAAATCTAATTAAGTAATCATTCCGCAAATACACGACAAAGTACCGTTGTGTGTTTTATTTTTCTCTCATTTACAATGTGTTACCCTCAAACGTAATAGAGGCAGTTTAGTCGTGGGGGCCGTTTTGTCCCTACAGAGCTCAGGGTGGCGTCTGCTGATCCTTCAACGATGCCGAAACTCCCACTGCTAATCTCCAGAGGAGGATTTATGGTTAATATCCATAAATCCTCAAAGTGCCCCAGTTGTAATCTGGCTTTCGGGGGTCTGATGAAATCATGTTTAGAACTTGTGCCACTAACACTCGTCCTGCACGTGAAAAGCACAGGTGGAAACATCTCGCTATTAAACTCTCAATCTCACTGGGCGAGGAAATGTTGAGATCCATTAGCTTGTGCTCCAAACCTTCTGTGACTCCACACATTGAACATGGCTCCCGTGAATCTGCTAGCCAGCGATTAGCCGCGCCATTAGAGATGTTTGGGTCCCGTTGCATCTACTTCCACTCTCTGTTATGTTGCTTGTTGCCGAATGTAAAACCTATTTGAAGGCAATTATGTGATAATTGAACGTGTGTAATTGTGCAATAAAATTGAGGGTCTCTGTTCATTTGCAGAGAGAGAATCCTCCCCTTTCCATACATGTGCATTGGGATGAAATAAATAAAGATGCGTTTGATCATTAAAGTCTCAACAGAGCGTGGGTGGGGGCTCGCCTCATTTACTTCCTGGTCCCAGAGGAGCGGAAAGAGCAAAGAGGAGAAACGTTCAGTCCGTAGAATGGAACAAATCTCACTTTGTCACGCGGCCCCTTAACCGTAATACATATTTCATTTTCCTGTGTGAATATATTGGCAAACTTGGTTGGTCTTTTAGGGGTTGGAAAATTGGACAACTTGTGGGTGAAAGTGGCAATAATGTACTAGTGCATTGGAAGTTACACCCATTGGAAATAAATGTTGCAGTATGTTTCACAGAGCAGTCTCTCTCTGCTGGAATGAATGAAGACAGAAGGACCGATCCTGATACAGTGAGCGCTGAATACTTCGTTCGTGCCACAGATTTTACGTTGTAGCCTCTCAGCTGGGCGACATGTTGTATCTAAGTCATCTGAGCATATCTTGTTTGAGTTTTTTTTTCTTTAAAGTAACCAAAGCTTCAATTTATTGGAATCCCTGCTAGATGCCATGACAGCATTTTTTTTTCCCAAGGTCCACCCGGTTAGTCACATTTTGCCGGTCTAGTAGGTTTTCACACCTGGACAAACCAACTCTCTATCTCCATCCCTTTTAAAAAAAAAAATATGTGTGAGCAGTGGGCAGAAAATATATTTTGGCCGGTGAGTCAGAAAGCTTGTCTGGGACATAATGAAGCAAGCGACATCCTTAAGCCTCCAGGTCACCAGTGCTGAGCATTTCCCTTCTATCTGAGCAGCATGATGTCCCAAGCAGGCTAATGTCAACTCAGCTGCTACATCTGCCCAGGCTCTCCTAATCTCCTCCCTTAATTCCTCCAGCGGGCAGCTGGAATGGGCCGAGGGGCCCCGCCGGAGATGGAGGAGCAGGTGGCCGCCTCAGAACTCTCATATGTATTTTCAAAAAGTTACCAGACAGGAAATAAAACCTTCCCTGTCGTGACTTTTTTTTTTCCATCGAAGCGTCCTCTCCGGAGCTGTAAAGTGTAACGGGTTGCTATCAGTGATTTCAATGCTTATGCAACAATGTGTGAATGATATGCACGCACTCACATTTGCTTTGCCAGGGGACCAACCACCGCTGGAAAGTGGGACATTTAAGAGATTTCATGCAGAGCTGTGAAGATAAAAGTATAATGGCTGTAATGGCACCAAAAATGTAATTACAGCTATTCCGTTACATTCAATTACAAAAATTCACTTTGATAAGGTATTATCGTGGCAGGGGTCACGGTGAGGCCTGGTTCCCATGGTTACAGTCCCACAGGCACCCACGGATGAATTAAATATCCAGTGGAATATAACGCCCATTCTCAGTCAGGAGTCTGAGTTGTTCCCCGCATCAGCTGGCGGGTGTTTGTCAGGCGGACGCGGTGCGAGTCCATGTCCATCGATGCATACGTGAAGGGGGATATCTGGCGGAACAGGCAGCAAATGTACAGGTAAGATAAAAGAAACGGGCACTGGTTGAGGGAGGACTGTGGAGACAGCGATCCATACTGATAAACCAGATTATATTTCCCATGACCCACGCCGTCAAAAGATGATCGAGAGACGTCACATAGACAAACAAGGCCTCGCTACACTGTTCACACAAAGACCAGAGTTCTTTTTCCTCCACATATTGCTCTTTGAGATTATGTAACACGCTCTACTAACAGTCAGCGTGTTACATTTTAAAGTTTTTTTTAATTGTTTTTCAAGTTTTGTTATTTTTTAATCGGCTGTAAGTAATTGTGGCTAAAAACTTAATTCTGATTACCAATTAAATGAAGTATTTTTGGCAATTTTTCATCTTGACACATTCCTGGATTTAAACGATAATGCAAATCATCCTCCAAATTAAGATTCCACTGTTTCCAGCTAATAAGATAACTGAGCGTCACTCACGTTGAAGACGACAGTCATTAATTTTCTATTTAGCTTATTGGTGGAGAAAGCAGGAACTGCCTTCCGAGCTGTCAAATGAGAAAGATAAAGATATCCTGAGACTGTCTCGCCCCTCCAGAGGCCTTCAAGTAGACATCGAGTTTGTCCAAAAAAACAGATCCCGAGACACCAGATACCAAGACTTGGTGGCGACGTGCCGAACGTCACCCGCTGAACAAGCTCCTTTTTTCTCTCCTGCAGGTTCGACAAAATAGCATAACGTCCCGACGACGCCTGGCGAGCGAGTACGGGGTCCCCGTTCGCGCGACGAGTCAAACACACGGTCGCGTTTTAGCGGTGCGCCTAATCACTGTGCGGTTTTGAGGGGCCCCGGAATCACAGGGTACGATACATCATCAATCCGTCACTGTCTGTGAACCCGTGCTCTCCTGGCAGAGACTCAGGCACTGAATTAATCACCGCGACCGTTATTGCCAAATTACTGACACGGGATCAAAGATAAACGTCGCCGACTGACGGCCCACAGTCTGATTAATTTCCCTCCTCTCTGGTGATTGACAAGAGACTCAAACTGAGGATGCTGCATCCTAATCGTTGCCACCCATCGCCTGGATTACAATAGCAGTCGCCATTATACTTACTACTACAAGCCGGGCCGCTGTGCAGAGAGGGACAACATATTCCTGGGCGTTTTTTTTTTTTTTAAGAGGCGCTGAGTGTAGCCCGAGGGTCAGCGTCACAGCCCCTTCTCAAAGGCCTCAATTTGAGCTGGAGACAGGATTGAGTTATGTGGTCCCTTGTCCCGTCAAACGCAATAAGGAAAGCGCTCGCTTCCTCGTGACCGGAGCTCCGTACAGACACACAGAAACAATAGATGCGGCCGGCAATAACGCAGCCGCGTTTTAGTAATGTGGTGAGACAGGTTTCCTAAGAGGAGATGGAACCTGGATATTAGCAAAGGGCCACATGTGACCTCCCTGGATGAGCGCCACTCATATGCCCGTTAGAGAAATCCGGTCTTAATAAGCGGCAAAAAAACAAAAACCCATCACCTTTTTGATCTTCGCCTGTTAGCCTAAACAGGCCTATCAGTCTTGATACCAATCCAGTGGAGAGAAGCGGGATCAATCGAATCCCTTCTCTTCCCTCTCTTTTGTGTTAAGTTGCAGCAGGGGCTGGCGTTGTCATAGAAACAGCTGCAGCAGAAAAAGGTTAGCTTGTTGTTGAACTTGGTAGGATGCATGGAGCAACGAGAGCCATCATTATGTGAGGTATCAGCAGCACAAACGGAGGGGCGACTGCTTCTGTCGTTTGGCTGAAAAAGCGAGGGCTTAATGTGCGACAGTGACCGCAGGTTCTCATCCCTCTCTGTGGGAGAATGCAGGAGGATATGATGAGGCTCAGGGACAATTTGGGGTAATATACTGCCCAAGGTGGCGGAATTCCTGCAGGGTAACAAATCTCAGTGTTTTGAGGGCTAAGAATTAGATGAGCGCGCGCCACCAATGCAATCATCTTGTCTGGTCTTCCTTCAGAAATGAATCCTGTCCGGCCCGCCTGCGGTAAAGCTGAGGAACGGTGTGATATCTCTTTACTTTAAGACTTTGCATTAGCATTCACACCGACCGGTGAGCCCGCTGGGCGCTCACAACCCGCTGAGACGTTTGTAAACGCGCTTCGATTTTCACAAAGATGTGACAGCGAGAAATTTTCCCACACGGAAAGCATATTATCGGCTGCTACGTTTATCCAGGTAGGGGGAGGAGATGACACATCAAACAGCTCTGGCCTTGATAGCTAGTTTGTTCCGCCAATTGGTAGCGACCGTAAAGACGGCCCCCGCGGGTTAGCGCCGCTACGGCCGTTAGCTTAGCGAGCCGGAGCAGCACGACGGCCGCGTGTCAACGATGGCTACTCCGCGCGTACGTCCGGACCAATTCCACCAACAATCGTTGCGAAGCATACGCTCGCCGCACAAAGCGCTTGATGTCTTTGAGATCAGGCTACGCCTATATGGTCTTTTTTAGAATGGTTAATCAGTGACTTCCGCCTCAAACCAGAGCTAATTATTAGCTATTAGCGTAATGCAGGAGGAACCCAGGAAATAAGGTATTTGGTATTTAATTAGGCTACATAGGTATGTCGTTGTGGGCTTTTTAGTAATAATTTTAAAGAATAAATTACGGTACGATAACTATTTAAACGTATGTGTTAAAAATAAATGATTCCTTCATTGGGGGTTTCTCTATCCCCTATAGCGTCTTTCCCTGTGGCGATGGTGTCCACCTTCATTCAGGAGTATAATTGAAGCAAGGAGTAGTTTGGGGCCTTTTGCCACAAAGTCAGAGTGCAATTCAGTGATTCAACGCTGTGCTGGTTATTCAGATGTGTGATAACAAGGCCAGATCCGTGTCTTCAACAGTGGGATTGCTGTGAGATGGGCAGCGGGGAACATCCGCAGCGCAGAGGAGGAGATACGGTGAGGAGCGCCGTCTCACCAGAGGCGAGTGGTTACAGCACTGAGCTGAAAGTGAATGACTGATCGGTTTCCACGCGCTCGCGCCCCCGTTTAAAACCACCTGGTTCTCCCCCTTCAGAGGCTTCCCAAACTCAAGAACCACAAAGGAGCCTTTTGAAGTGATGCTGGTGTTTCAAGAGGGACCGCGGAAATCCCTCTTAACTCGCAGACCTGCTGCCTCGTAGATGTTTAATTTAAAACCGGACCCCTCGTTTTCCACAGGCGTCAAACTTTTCTAAGGGACACATGTAAAATATCAGGACAAGAGCATTTCTTTGAATGCTTTGTCATCCTTTAACAGTTTCAGTTGTGACAATCACCAGGAATGTACGCCTAGCCTGAGCTATAAAAAGAGATGAAAACCTGCAATCTCCTGTTTATCCTTCAATACACTGTAACATGCTCCTAGTAACAGCTTCTACACCAAAGCAAATGTGTTCAGGAAAATCATTTTGATGTGCCGATTCCTTGGCGACCCTCCATTCTGGTCTTGCCTCATATTCCCCCAGAATTCTCTCCGCACTGAGCCTGAATCAAAAGCTCAGAGGAGCGGCTCGCCTGCCGCAGAAAGGATCACCGCTGGGAATTCTCCCCACCAACATTCAGCCCGAGAAGAAAGGCTCCAGTTGTCGAAGTGTGTTCGGCCCTGACTTATAATTACATTCAATTAGGATAAAACAAAGCTAATCCGGAGTGCGTGAGACACTGCGTCCCTGCTTCTAATGAACCGATCCCCGTTACCGCTTGAGATAAGATGTTCACATCAAGTAGAACGAGGGAGAAACAGTCATATTTTACGCTGCCGCCTTCTATTTTCAGCTTGTTCAGTGAATTCCGCCACTTTAGCAGACGTTTTAGACGTGCCGGTCGTGTGTTGTCGTCCCCCAACAACAGCAGCCAGCGTAAGATTGCTCTGAATCACACCTCTCCGTCGGCACGAATCAGCGTCAAAAAGGCAGGCGACCTTCAGCGGAAAACCCCGAATGTGCCACAGAAGATTCAGAGAGCACATCTTTTTGTGGTCTTAACGGGTTTCAAAGCAGGCTAGTGGTTCTGGGCGAACAACACGAAAAGGTGCGGATTTAGGGCGGGGGGAGAAAGCCCGGTAGTGGGAGATTATAATGGAAATCACTGCTGAGACACACAGCCTGCGAGGAAGAGGCCTGGGAGTCATCGTTGCTGCTTCAGGCTTTAGTCAATCACACCTTCCATTGGCCACCGTTTGCGTCGCTGAAGGTTTTTCTATGTGGCTCAATGGTGTTTGCGCTCCATAAGTCAAACGGCCTATAATGAGGGATTTTCCCATTAAAATTCCGTCGGGGGAAACCGTAATCGTGTTTCAGTGGCCCGCCAACATCAAGGTCTCAATGTGATTAGGAGAACATTATGATTTTTAAGGAACTAATCTTATTATGACATGCACCACACGGAGATGATTAATACCGCAATTGGGACGCGCACGTTGTCGGAGGCTTATTTGGACGCCACAATCCACGCAGGTAAAGTTGTTCTCCGGTGACTTTTCTCAGTTGCAGCCGTTTTTCACCGGCGCGGCACATCCATGAAATGAGACTCAATTTGGAAAACAAAGGTCTGCGACTTCATGGAAAGCGAAAAGTACATATTATTAGTATTAATGCATGCAGACAGCCTCCTCATTACCTCCACTGTGATAAAGGAAACGTTTTACATTTTTGGGAAAGACGACAATTTGCTCTGTTGCCGAAGGATTATATATATATAAAAAAAATGTGTGTCCTTAAATTCAAAAGAGTTAGCGTAGCTTTGCATTATAACTGGAAACAAGGTGACAGAGCCGGCTTGGGTCTGTCCGAAGGTGGTAAAAGACACTTGCCGACGGAATACAGGATTGATCACAGAGCTGCGGTTGGTGGAAGAATGGCGACCTTGTAAAACGAAACCTCTTTGATTTTGTAAATAGAATAATAGAATCACACGTTCTTCCACTAACAGCGGTGTTGTGATTTATCTTAAAAACGTCCTGACATCTGCATGTCAATGAGATGCAAACTGAAGATACTGGTGAGCTAATCTTTATGCTAAGCCAAGAGGACCTCAGTTTCATATTTACTGTACATTTTTTTCCATCTAATTTCCCAAAATGACATGAACTGGGTCACGCAGGCCTTTGGAGAACGTTTGAATGAACCCAGTGCACCGTGACCACAGCACGGTGATCACATGTGCTCAGTTCATTTACCATCCAATTCAATTTCACAGCCCAGCTGTGCTACGTTACCCCCACCCCCACCCTACCCCCCCCTCTCCGCCTTTTTGTCGCTTTCAACCTCCATTTGAAAGAGTTCTGGGAGACAGCAGCGGCCTCAGTGTTGGTCGATGAAATTTTCTCATTAATTCAAAAGGTGGCGCGGATGCATTGCGATTACGACATAAATAATAAACACGCCCGTTCGTCTCCCCGCGGTGGACACTGTTTAATTCAATGTCCATCCATGTGTATTACGGGAACTGTCTCTCCAGGGTCAACGAAAAAGCAACAGCCTCGGACAAATGACACTATTGTTCCAGACTTAATAAACAACCAGTCAGGTTGTGTTACAGTGCAATGTTCCAGTGGGGTGTGAAACCACTGATACATACAGAATGGTTCATGTTGTCACGCCGGCGTGTTTCAAATGACATTTTTCATATGATACCTGATCTGACGGTTCCCTTTCTGCCATCAGATTAAGTGACGTCCCCGCTATTTTCATCGCGATTGCGCCGGTATCCGTTTCTCGGATCAGAATATGTCCATGTGACTTGAGCTCCAATTTGAAAAAGCAATTACCGATTATGCATCTACGGTGTTGAAAAAAGAAAGAAAGAAATAAAACAACCGAAATGAGGGAGGAGGTGGATTCATTTACATTGTGACGCACCTGCAAGCGTTGGGCGTGCAGGGTACATCCATTTTTGAGCGACAACTTTACAGGGATCAAAGATCTTTGGCTCGTCAAGTCATCGTCATTCAGTGGGGCCTTTTCATGATCAGAGCACTGATGCGAAGCCACCGTGAATAATGGAACAGGTTGTCGGCACCAATAGACGACTTCCTTCTGGTTCCAGGCTGTACAACATGGCCTCTGTGTGGAGACTGCCAAGGTGTTATGTCTCCACCTACAGGCACTCGGAGGAACTGTTTGTGCTGGACTGATAGGCAGGATAATCATATAAACCCTCTGAGCAGCACATTTAATCAGCGCCAATTATAGATCTCAGTCATATTTAATGATACATTAGGTACAAGTGGATATGATTAGGCTCGAGGAAATTCCAAAATATCAAAAGGAGATAAGCTACGTATCCAATTACACCCTTGTATCTGTGCCGTTTTTATAAAAAAAAAAAAAAATAAGGAAGATTAAGTACAAATCATGATGGATTACAATTAGTTGTATTATTCAACTTGAACAATGGCTTTACATAATCCAAAAACAAATGTGCAATAATTTGTGTGCCAAACAGTTTTTTTTAAATATTAAATAAAGACACAAAATAAAAGGTGGGGGGGGATCACATGAATTCAGAAAGTTTTTCCTTCACTTTCTCTTCGATGTTTGCAAAGTACTTCATTTGGGCAAGCAGGGCTTTGGCGGCTTGGAGCTCTCCTGGTGGTAGATGAAGAATAATTGAGTAAAAGAAACACAAGGTGGCTCAATCACTGACTCACTCTGTGACTTAAAGGAGAACTTTGGCAGAGTTTTACAAAACAAACAAGAAGAATGAGTGGGACCGACTAGAAAAAGGTCCCGATGCAGCGCCTGACTGCAATACCTTCAAGAAGGGCAGCGTCTATCGCCTCCGTCAAGACTGCCAGTTTCCCTGCAAGTGGGGAGGAGAAGAGTTCCAGTTCTTTTGGCACACAGACACATAAAAAGCACAGGGATTAGCTGCTCGATTTGAAGTTACACAAAACACATTAGAAAAATGGAGCGTGTGGATACAAGGAACTATTCTAGCTTCCATAATGGGACACAAATCGTGTAGAGAGACATGAATCGTGTCATGTATGCGTGCATCATTCATTGGACATTTTCCCCCTTGTTGTGCATTGCAACAGTAGCCAATCATATCCCATTTTTTATACTATGGCCCCATTCTTTTTATAAATGATCCATTCAGTGATAATATCATTCCAATTGGTAGTTTGCATTTTGAGCGGCGTTGGGCTGGATTCATATTGCCTGCAGGCTGCACAATTTACTGTTTTTAAAATCACCGCTACGTCAAATTATTTGATTAAACTAAATATCTGTAATCGGGGATTTTCTTTAGTTAGTTGAAAGACAGTATCAGTACAAATGGGCAATTAAACATTTGACAATTTAGCAATGGTGCCTTTTGTGTACAATATGGAAATAATTTCCTTTCATTTTTATTAATTCAATTTGCCATTTGTTCTATTTTAGTAATGAACTGACTGACAGAAGCAAAGGGAAAGAACTTAGTAAACCTTAATATCTGTTTATTTTTCACAAGTAACATAATGCATATGCCGCAGCATGCATTGCAACACATGAGATCTGTCGGTTACAGTGTAAACAACCAGTTCTTCTAGGAGGGCTGGCTCGTGGTATCAAGCCACACTTGCTGTTACCATGGTGACAACAGAGGTCACCAAATGAACCAGAACGGAAATCTTAAGGATTACACCTCCATCCCACAGGATAAAGGATTCCGTGTCTCTCTCACCTTTGTGATGATCGACGCTCGGCTCAAATGGATCCACCAGACTTTGCCTCAATAAATTGATCCGGCATTTGTTATTTACCCTTTGTGTGCCGGCCGATCTCTTCGGCGTCCTCTGGCGTCAGTGCTCCGTCGAGAGCTTCATTGATCTCCATCAGCTCCGCCAGGAAACGCGGGTCCGCCCCGGGGTCGGTGCCCTCTTCGGTACGAATCCCCTCCAGCTCCAGCTGAAACGCAGGACGGGGGTCCGTCAGAAACTTCGAAGCGCTCGTTTACTACTTTGGACCGGCAGCCGGTGGAAGAAGCCGTCAAGACACGCCGCGTGCCGGCGTTCATGTAAATCAACTGTCAAGAGATTTCACACTCACCATATAAAGACCACGACTCAAAGGCTTAAGCAGAGTCTGGTATGCTTTGTTCACGAGAGCCGAGTGGCTTTCTGAATACTCCTGTTCCGTCTGCGAAAGAGAGAGACGTTATGGTCGCTTCCGACAGCGCGCGCTCCATAGTCACGCGTCGGGAAACCCAACGTGCTGCCGCGCTCGCGTATTCACAGACCTGAGTACAGTTCTCAGGACTGTCAGCTCGTGTGAAAATCACCCGTCTCAAGGTCGTGTGGATCTGCTCCTGCAACAACAAGCGGCGCGGGAGGCGGCTGCCTTGTGGCCTCGTATAAGTAATGAGTTTTCTTTACACGATGAGGAGCTCGGGGGAGGGAGGGGGGGTTGTCTAATTAAGGATAAATGGCCAGAGGTGCTGATGAATAAAACGGAGCGTGAACAATGTCGGACAGGTTGTTTGTGAAGAAAGCGTTTTACATTAGCTTCCCTCTCTCGCTCAATGTGAGTCAAGCTTTCATACCGTATAACGACAACATTCTGCGTGCTGCACGAAATAAATTACCTGCGATGCAACACTCCTTCTCGTCTTCCTCCCTTGGGTGACTAAATAATGCTTAGTCATCCAAACTAACTGTCAATTTCTTTTTTAATGATGCACGAGGGGGTAAAGAGTCAGCGGTTTTACTACTTTATAAATAAACTATATCTTATTTCTTTCCGTGAAAGATATTTATAGCTGCACTAATCAGTGGTTACATCCTCTGTGTCTTTAAACTGCCCTTCCTATAGTTTCTAACACGTGGCCTTCAGCTGCCAACTGCTGGCTCAGCAAAAGCCACGGAGGCAATAAATATGTTCTAAATTTTGAATTTAGCATTTTTACTCAAGAATATCATTTGGTGATTAATTAATAACAAAATGAAGTTCTGAATTCTGCAACAAATATATCTGTCATTTTCTCCTCTGACCAATGGGTGGGAAACCATTGCCCCCACAGCAGGGATAATGAAGTACATCCATCCATCGTCAAACCGCTTATCCTGCACACAGGGTCGCGGGGGGGCTGGAGTCTATCCCAGCCAACTTCGGGCGATAGACAGGGCACAGGATAATGAAGTATATGTAGAATATAAAAGGCATAGGCATTGGACCACATTAGACAATCAAATTACTTAAATGTTCTCTTGTAACGCCTTTTAGATTCCTAAAACAATGCGTTTTAATGTATACCGTAAACCAGATTTTTCTAATGCAACCTTTGTGTCCACCAATCGTGTATAAGAAGGCAACGGACTTTCTATATTAGATTATATTCTTTCTTATTCTCTTTCATAGAACTTCATATTTATTTGGCCAAGACCTTTTCCCAGTGGACATCTTCACATAGCAGGAAAGGCAAAGTTTCAACCAGGTACCAACCTGGTACTTATTTATATTTATCTCAATGCTTTCATCTCATTTGTGAGTCCTTGAACTTGCACGCCCCGTTGCAAATTATAGGCTAAGCTGCTTCATGGCCTAACTGTCAGCGTCTCATAAGGACATCACCAAATGTCACGTGGTCAAATAAGGTGTCCAACTCCCCTGTCACGGGTCACACCTGGACTAACAGATGTAACTGGACTGATGTGCATTCTGGTTCCCGCCCACATCTCCTGCCTACCACAGACTTCTGGCTGAAGTTGTCTGGATGTAGAGCCCGCTGGAGCTGCAGGTATCTTCTCTGCAGCTTCTGTGTGTCCACCGAGAACGTGAAGTCGCTGAAAAAAACAGGCAAACACAACGCGGGGGTGACGTCATGTCGCGGCTCACAGTCACACACCGATGGCAGCGGGGAAATCATAAATACAGAGTGATACTTACCAATCCATCGTTTTAAAGTAGGACGCATCTTCTTCCGGGGGCTGGATGACGTTGCATGACGTACAGAAGAAGGCGGGATTTGCATCGAGCGGCTGTTCGCACTTCCAGCAGCGCACTTGGACTTGACCTGTGCAGAAGCTCCTGTGGGAACTGGCCGGAGTCGTGGAGTCGATGAGCTTCCTTTCCCTCCCCCGCGCTTCGAGCTTCAGGCAGCTGTGCCGTGTGTCCTTCACGGGGATGCTGCTCATGCAACGCGTCCGACATGTAACAGTCGTATAAGCGGTCTGTCGCCTCGTCGCGAGGCGGCCGTGGTGCAGTAAAGCCCCCGATGAGCACAAAATGCGCAACGTCTTCAACGACAACATTTCTTTAAAAAATATATATATATAAAATACACCACTCGCGGGGCTGTAATGGTGTCAGCGAACACTCAAAGCTCAGCGAGTCCTTCCTGTCAAAACATGTTAATTTCTCCTCCAGAAACGGGAGGAAGTGCGTTCTGTGTCTGCGTATCCGTGTCCTCGCGCCACACTGCCACCCGTCGTCATGGCGGCGCAGCGGGGGAACGTCTCTGAGTGCGGGGAGGGGAGGGGGGGGAGGCTAGCAACAGCGGCGAGCAACAACAGCTAGCACGCGCAGCCGCAAGAAACAGCCAACGCAATAACTTAACGGATAATCAAATAATGTAGCGTTGGATTTGATCGCGCCACGGAAAACGTAGTAAGTTCAACGTTGCGAGGTCTTTAATACACGCTATAAACGTATCGCTGACACTTGCACTACAACGTTTGAGAGGATGTAAACTTAAAAAGAATCAATTGTCAGTACGTTGCCAGGTTAGCTCGTGGGCTAACCTCAGCCTAGCTTAGTTTGCTAACGTGTTATTTCAGAAAAAAGTGATATCTCTTGTTGGCTCGTTGTCAGCCACCAAGTGGCTTCCTTTAAAATACCATTTGAGGTCACTTAATGGCATTAATATGAATAAAACACTCCGCCTTAACTTTCCGCTGAGAAGTGCTTGCTCAGCTAACGGAGCTAGCCGGCTGACAAAGACATTCCATGCTAACGCAACCAGCTGGGACTGGTCCGCGGAGCCTCCATCCAAACTAGCCGGCTACTTTCCCAACGTTTCGTGAATCTGACGACACGATCAAGTCTGGCTCGATGTATTAAATCACCTTGTGTGAGGAGCAGTAGCCCGTAAAGCCACAGCCCTTTTATTGCCAAATAGTGTTGTTGGGACATAACTTTTTAAATTAAAATATACGCATGCGAGCTTTAACGCTTTTTGTTGCAGAAGATGTCCCTCCCAAGCGTGTCGGCGATCAGCTGGGACCTCATTAACTAACCCTATTGCGACGACCAAGGCGATGGTCGATGAGGAGTTTTGGTCACACGCAGAGTGGCTTGTCCACCAGGGTCTTCACCAAGCGCTGGAACCCAGATAACACCTGCAAACCCTGGTAAGTATTTCATTGACTGAATGTGCCGTGGTGTGCTGCCACATCATCTGCCCTCACCGGGCTGCATCCCATTGAACAGTTGCACAAGTTCCTCTGATCTGGGGCCAGTGTAAATATGCCTATTTGGTTCAAAAGATCAGACTGGGCGTCTTCAGTCCTTGTCTCTACAGTTTCCTGTCAAAAGGACGAGCTCCAGTGAATGCCAAGTCCTGACTCATGTTGCGTGTTTGTAGGTGGTGGGGGGGTTTTGGGGGCGGAGGTGCAAAAGGTGACGGTAGTGTATTCCAGAGAGAGACACTGGTCGGAGACAGCAGTTTCTACAAGGTAAACAGGATCTGGTCCTGAAGGCCGAGGGAGGTGCTTCTCAAGGCTCCCACAGACAATACGCTGGGTATTATTAACGGAAACGGCTAAGAATAGAGAGCAGGGGAGCGAGGTGGCTCCTCTGGCGGTCATGTTGTTTGGGTTAAACGAGCCAGAACGAAACATCATCGTTAGAAGAGTGGCTTCTCGAGCTCACATGGGTGTGTCACACACACTCACACACACACTGGCTGAGTGTTGATTTCCAGTGCTTTATCTGTGCAGCAGAAGAGGAGTAGTCCTGGATCGCTCTCCGCTGCTTATGTTGGCTTGTTTTGCTCAACGTTTTCGGATTCGTAAGTAGAGCTATTTTCAAATGTGTTTTGTGCGGTTTTAAGTGGTACTCGGTAGCCGTTTGCCATGTGTAGATGTGACCCTGAAGACTTTCTCCTAATTAGTATCGGGCAACAAATCCTTTGTTACATTTTGTATTTTTTCAAACATAAATTCTAATTTGTTAACGTATGAAATGATCAAACGGAAATATAATTATAAACATCCGTCGATGACACTGACTCAGCATCGGCACCAGTAACAACGCATCAGAGAATAAAAGGGATTTATTAATTCTGAAAGGGATTGAATGGACGTGCTTTCTTTCTCATCCATTTGGGCCCTTAACATTTGAAATGCTGGGTCCAGTTGGAACCCTTTCTCAAAACAAGATTAATCACGCCTGTGTAACAACAGTTGAATCAATAACACGATAGATCACACAGAAAAGTCAATCAGGCGGTTCTTTGTCACAGGAAGCGTGCATCTATTGTATTACTCTTATCTGCAATTATCTACTAAAATCTTCTTGTTTTTGACCTTTTTTTGTGAGCAGTGTACTATTGATATTTGGGGCTGGGTATTCGGTTGTGGATTATGTGAAGGCTGTTCAGGGATCAGAGGCAAAGGCGAAGTGAGTTATTTGTGTTTTTCTAATTGGGGAAAAAAAAGCAATATTTGTCTTTAAGCTTTAACAAGTTCCATATAACTTAGGACATCACTGTGCTCCATTACGAACACGACGTTGTGTGATTTCTTTCCCCCTCTCACAGATAAACCATGATCCCCATCACTGAGCTGCGGTACTTTGTGGACACGCAGCCGGCGTACCGAATCCTGAAACCATGGTGGGACGTGTTCACCGACTACATCTCCATCGTTATGCTCATGATCTCCGTGTTCGGCGGCACGCTGCAGGTCACCCAGGACAAGATGATCTGCCTGCCGTGCAAATGGGTGGTCAACAACACCTGCAGGAAGAACGTCAATTCCACCCTCATAAATCCGTTGTACATGCAGCCCAAGGGGATCCAGTATGATCTGGACCGCCACCAGTACAACTATGTGGACGCTGTGTGCTATGAGAATAGGTTGCACTGGTTCGCCAAGTATTTCCCGTACCTAGTGTTACTTCACACCCTCATTTTCCTCGCTTGCAGCAACTTTTGGTTCAAGTTCCCGCGGACTAGTTCCAAACTAGAGCACTTTGTGTCCATCCTGCTGAAATGCTTCGACTCCCCGTGGACAACGCGGGCGCTGTCGGAGACGGTGGTCGAAGAGAGCGACCCGAAGCCAATGAAAATGAACGGCTCGATGGACCACAAGGCGTCCGTCGTCAGCGAGGACGTCGAGGCGAGCGTCCCCATGCTGCAGAGGACAAAGACGCGCTTCGAGCAGGGCATCGTGGATCGGACGGAAACGGGCGTCCTGGACAAGAAAGAGGGGGAGCAGGCGAAGGCCCTGTTTGAAAAGGTCAAAAAGTTCCGGATACACGTCGAAGAAGGGGACATCGTGTACAGGCTGTACATACGTCAGACTATTATCAAAGTCATCAAATTCATCTTTATCATCTGCTACACAGGGTATTACGTGCATGATATTAAATTCAGTGTTGACTGCTCGGTGGATATAGAGAGCCTGACGGGTTACAGCGTGTACCGCTGCGCTCACCCGCTCGCCACCCTTTTTAAGATCCTGGCCTGCTTCTACATCAGCTTGGTGGTGGTGTACGGTTTGATCTGCATGTACACGCTGTGCTGGATGCTGCGGCGCTCGCTGAAGAAGTACTCGTTCGAGTCGATCCGGGAGGAGAGCAGCTACAGCGACATCCCCGACGTGAAGAACGACTTTGCGTTCATGATGCACATGATCGACCAGTACGACCCGCTGTACTCCAAGCGCTTCGCCGTGTTCCTCTCGGAGGTGAGCGAGAACAAGCTGCGGCAGCTCAACCTCAACAACGAGTGGACGCTGGACAAGCTCCGGCAGAGGATTACCAAGAACTCTCAGGAGAAGCTGGAGCTGCACCTTTTCATGCTGAGCGGCATTCCCGACACCGTGTTCGACCTGATGGAGCTGGAGGTTCTGAAGCTGGAGCTCATCCCCGACATCACCATCCCGCCGATCATCGCCCAGCTGGTCAACCTGCGGGAGATGTGGCTTTACCACACGCCGGCCAAAATCGAAGCTCCCGCGCTGGCTTTCCTGCGCGAGAACCTGAAGTCTCTGCACATCAAGTTCACGGACATCAAAGAGATTCCCTTGTGGATCTACAGTCTGAAGAACCTGAGCGAGCTCCATCTGACGGGCAACCTCAGCGCCGAGAACAACCGCTACATCGTCATCGACGGGCTCCGGGAGCTCAAGAGGCTCAAAGTTCTTCGCCTGAAGAGCAACCTCACCAAGCTACCTCAGGTGGTGACCGACGTGGGCATGCACCTCCAGAAGCTCTCCGTCAATAACGAGGGCACCAAGCTGATGGTGCTCAACAGCCTGAAGAAGATGGTGAACCTGACCGAGCTGGAGCTCGTTCGCTGTGATCTCGAGCGCATACCGCACTCGATCTTCAGCCTGCACAACCTGCAGGAGATCGATCTGAAGGACAACAACCTGAAGACCATCGAGGAGATCATCAGCTTCCAGCACCTTCATCGGCTGGTCTGCCTTAAGCTCTGGTACAACCAGATCGCCTACATCCCCATCCAGATCGGCACGCTGACCAACCTGGAGAAGCTGTACCTGAACCGAAACAAGATCGAGAAGATCCCCGGCCAGTTGTTCTACTGCCGCAAGTTGCGCTTCCTGGATCTGAGCCATAACAACCTGACCCACATCCCCACAGACATCGGCTGCCTCCAGAACCTGCAGTACCTGGCAGTCACAGCCAACAGGGTGAGTACTCGGGTTTGTTCGCACCAAACAAATGTCCAGGTTTCAACTTCTAAGGCCGCTCTGCTTCTCTCCTGCCATGTGACACCACCCCCCCCACCCCTCCCTCTACAGATTGAGGCTCTGCCCAATGAGCTGTTCCAGTGCAAGAAGCTTCGCACTTTGAACTTGGGCAACAATTGCCTGCAGTCGCTGCCGTCTCGCTTCGGGGAGCTGACCGGGCTGACGCAACTGGAGCTGAGAGGGAACCGCCTGGAGTGTCTGCCGGTGGAGCTGGGCGAGTGCCGGCAGCTGAAGAGGACCGGCCTGGTGGTGGAGGAGGACCTCTTCAACACCCTGCCCTCGGAGGTCAAGGAGCAGTTCTGGAAAACGGACAAAGAGCAGGCGTGAAGTGGTCTAGTGGGAACAGATACTGAATCAACCCGGGGGGGGCTCCACTCTCCCCACCGGGGCACGCTGAAGTGTACCGCCGGTAAGGTTTTGGGTATCGAGAGCCGACGCCGGTTCGGGCGGGACCAAATTGCAGAAAGCTCCCGGCCGTTGTCTTAGTTCTTCACTCTGTAGTCGATTGTTCTTTGTTTTGCAAACAGCTCCTCGGGCCTTTACAGTGACACCAGTAGTGATGCTTAGTGAAGGCCATTGCATAACACGCAGCCCACTTCATCATAAACAATGACAGATTTAGCAGTCCCATAAGTTTTAGGTCATAGCTGTAGTCCATGTAACTAGTGTACATTCTGGTGGCCATTGTTCTTCAGGCCCTCGAATACCCTTCAATCTGACTGAAATGGAACTAAATGGGGTCGTCGTGGCTACAGAGGTAGAGAGGGTGTGCTGGGAACCGCAAAGTTGGTGGTTCGAAGTGTCCCTGAGCAAGCCACCTGACCCTAATTGCTCCCCGGGCAAAAATGTAAAAAAAAAAGCCATGGCATAAAAATGTAATGTAAGTCGCTTTGGATAAAAGCGTCAGCTAAATGACCTGTAATAATAATAATAAAATCTACACATGTGTCGGGGACGACATACAGCACGTGGTGTTGGACTAGAGGTCCGAGGGGCTGATCTGTTGCACCGGGTGCTGGGAGAGAAGCATTCAATCTACTTCTTCTTATTCCAGAATACGACGGCCACCCAGCGGAGTCGGTGGAGCAGATACCCAAAGCTTACCGCCGGTATCCTGTTGAGCGGAAACGCAGTGAAAACTGTGTCATTGGCCGTTCCTTACTCACGTTGTACAGAATAAATGCAACAGGGGGGAAAGGTATTGGATGAGATGCATTCGATTGGGAGTTCACAAATGATAACGCAGCGTTGACATTGAAAATGTTTGTTTGTCTGAAACAAACGCTTACCGGAAACACTACGTCTGTTTATTATCCACTTTTCTTCGTAGTCTTTCTGTATTAAATCATGTGGAACTGCGTTATTCAAAACATGTGTGAGATCACAGCCATCTTTTAATCGCATACTACTTAAATAATTGTGTTGGAGTCCTTGAGATGAGGTCAATATGGAATTTAATCATCATCTAATTAATATGAAAAAGATTTTTACGAGGGGAAAAAACGATGCAGTAAGGAAACTAGTTACATTGAGCTTAATTTACAAATTGTGACTCCTTCAAAATAAATCCTCATTGACAAGTGAGATTAGGCTTTTTTGAAAAGAGACATGGCCGTCGGATCAGTTGCCTTAACTTGTTTTCACACCCGTGTTAAGTATTGATTTCTGTTTCTTTTGTGGTCAAATCTGCAGAGTTGAAAACCAACTATTGTTTTCTTGACCGTGGTTGCGTGCAGATAATTGTCTTTAAGCTGCACTGGACGCCCAAACGATAATAAGAGCAACGGGACAGTTTCCCATGTTACACACTGAGGGCCGATAAAAGATACTGATGAAGAAAAAAATACATTTCGTATGTGAGTATCACAAAATCAAAATTACATGTCATATATTATGATTATGGTTGACTAAATTGGACTTCCAACCTCATAGTGAAAAATGTCCTGAGTTCATCCACAAACAGAGAATATGTCTTCTCAGAACTCTTGCCGCAGCGTCGTATGTTATTGAATTATCTTATTCATAATTGTGGGAGATATTTTCATCGTTCCTTTATTTCCTGTCGTCAACGGGCCTCCATACGTTTCCAGGTTTGGCCCTCTAATGGTCATTTACTCTAATTCCTATGTTTTTTTTCCATTTTGTAGAGAGATGTGCTGTTAAGTTTTGCCTGAGAGTGTTTTTTGCCACAGTAAGCGACACGCTAAAAATACACAGTACATAATATCATGGCGCAGCTCAGACGCAGCACAACACTTAACAGTGTGTTTACCCAGAGAACAAAGTCATCAGTTAATGTTTTAATAGACAACTGCACACAGACTTCCAGTAGCAATAGACTGGCACGGCTGAAAAGGGTAGTTTAAGCTATGGACATTTATTTTGGTAACATGTTAAACTATGCTAGATTGTGCAATATTGCCTTTACTTCAACTCTGTAAAGGTTATTTTTTATGTAGTTCTCAAAAGTACACGGGCATTATTTTTGTTTGTTTCTTTTTACTAAGTCGATGGTGAGAGTTTGGAGTCAACGCTTTTGCACCTGTCCCACAAGTTACATTTAGCTAAATGCAAATAATATAGTTTCTTGAATACATCAAGTGTAAATTATTCGGCACGGGGAGGTTGGACCGAATGACCACCGACCAAGAGATTAAATTAGACCTCAGGTATTCGATAAATATTTAATAAGTTATTTTTATTTCCGATCTACACCTAGAAAGACAAATTATTTCCCTTTAAGTCACAATTGGAGCATTTTAAATGACCTCCAGAACTCCTCAGCAATACGATTGAGACAATCACCTGTTCTAAATAAGACTGACAGCAGAGACCTTTGAGTGTTGTAGTCGCTCAGCACGGTAAAAATGCAGCGCCTCGAAGTAAAATAGTATTACAGATTTGATATTGAGCTTGTCGTTCATCTTTTTGTTCTGTTTTTCCTTTTTTTTTTTTTTTATTCTGACTTTTTCATTTTGACAACACTTGGTATTATTACTATATAGCTAAATTACTCAGGAAACCAGCTAGTACTCACTCCTTGTTTGAGTTGATTGCCTGTTTTATCTTTTTACTACACGTTATTTTTTATTAATTTAAATAATTGTTTTATACAGTTACAGTTTTATATGCATTTCTATACGTTATTTTCTAGTTTGGTGTATTTAATATTGACTGCTGGTGTAAAACGAAAGGCGTTTTGTGTTTTTAAAGAAGCCACTCGGTCTAACATTGATTCTGCCTTTTCCTCACTGACCATGTGCAAACTGAGCTGAATTGTTTCGGGATTATTGTGTCTTTGTCGGGATTATCACAGATGAGAGGGTGTGTGTGTGCGTGTATGTGTGTGTTTATCTGTGTGTCCGTTGGCATGATGAGACTCTCTCATGCTGTGATCTCCATTTTCGTCCTTTCCCGTTGAATCATTTTTGGGTACAAAATGCTTATTACAATGTTTCCCCAACTCGCATCCAATTGTAAATGATGTTAACAAAAATCGGCTTAATGCATTGTTGGTTTGCCAAATTTGTCATTAATAAGGAAATCATCAGTTTGTCAGTGTTAAAATGAATTATGTGACCGTATGTTTTAATGTGTTCCATCTTTTCCTGCACACCATCCACTAAAGGCAAAATAAACTTGATTGAGTTGAGTAATGCTTTGACTTAGTTTTGGGTGTTGGATAGATAATGTGTCAATGTTTGGGATTATCCACCAAAGCACAACTGGTATGACGCTTCCAGGTGACCCTTCTCGACTACATCGTGTACAGAGTTGTGTCTTTAACAAGGTCCCTGAATCAAAATGTAATACAAACCTCATCCCAGCTTTCTCATTGTTTGTTGGATGTAACCTGTAAAAAATCTGGTAGGCATAATAGTTAAACAGAGATGGCATAGAAAAACTGTAAAGCATTCACAGAATGGGAAAATTGGGGTTCTAATGACGCCCCAAATTTTTATCTTTGGCCCATATATCTTAACAGCACATGTTGGTCCAATTCTCTTATTTGACGCCTTGAGATGGTCTACTAATAAATATCAAGGAAAATTATTTAGTAACTGGACCTCTGTGGAGTCATGGTGGTTTACAGTAAGTTATGTTTTTAGAACATTCTAAATTCATCCCGGAACCATTTGTCGGCGGCCCTTGTGCGTACACGGACATGTTTTTCCGATACACTGGTTCAAAGACGCAACGTTTGAAATGGTAAATTTGGTTATGGACAATTACAGCGCGTATCTAGTGAAATAAAAAAAGCAGAAGCAGTTAAGAAGCTTTACACTGTTACGGTGTTTTAATGCGCATGTGATTATTAGAAGAAATACGAAGAACTTCCTTTTACTGAGGAGAACGTGATTTTTTTTATTTGCAGTCTGGAGCTAACAAGCTAAGCTAACTAGCAAACAGTAACTCAATGAATGCCGATTGCCTCCTGAAAGTTAACGTTTTTGGTTTATGATTCTTTTCTTGGTGTTACAGGCTGTTACCCTTCAAACAGACCTTGGAGAAATTAAGATCGAATTGTTTTGTGAGCGGGCACCGAAAACATGTGAGGTAAGTTAGTTGACGTGGGATAGAACATTTAGACCTGCTAGAGAAACGTTAAGTTAAGCTACCGAAGCTGTTATATTGTTACCAAATACACCGTCCTTGAATGATGAAGAATTAGGTCGACAAAATCTCACTTCAAGGTTTCTTGAAAAGTTGGCGGCTCTGCAATTAATAGTTTACTTGCATATATTTTGAAATCTGACTGCCTTAGTAGCAATTAACTAAAGAAAAATAAATGCATGCAGTTGATTTGAAGGCATATTAGTTTACCTCCACAATGCAATGGAAAGAAATACTTCATTATCGCCATTTCATTCTGTTGTTGCTACTATACTAGTACCCTACTTTAATGAAAGTACTTGTTTAGTTCCAGCAGAAACTGCTATAGACACCATTTAGGATAACTATTTAATGTGTAAAGGCCTTAAGGGGGATTTACACATCTTAACTAATGTTTCCTCTTTTTACAGAACTTTCTTGCCTTGTGTGCCAGCGGGTTCTACACCGGCTGTGTCTTCCACCGCAATATTAAGGGGTTCATGGTTCAGACCGGAGATCCTACAGGTACGGCACTGTTGCTGCATCTGCTGTATGTCTACACTAAGATGGCAAAATTCACGCCCTCATGTCTTGTTTGTATTTTTGCTCAAACCAATCAGGCACAGGCAAAGGAGGAACAAGTATATGGGGTCGCAAATATGAAGACGAGTTCAGTGAACATCTAAAAGTGAGTAACTACTAGTTCCAGCTTCTTTGCCGATGTCAGCGAGAGGGTTTACCTATTATTTAATTAGGGTTCACCCCCTATTCAACATTGTAACTTTAGTGTCCTTTTGCTTTCTCTTGCAGCATAATGTGAGGGGGGTGGTCTCGATGGCAAACAACGGCCCCAACACAAATGGATCCCAGTTCTTCTTCACATATGCCAAACAGCCGCATCTGGACATGAAGTACACCGTGTTTGGAAAGTACGCGACCTTTAGCCCGATCCATTGGCGTTATGTGAAATGGAAATAATGATAGTTGGAATTTGCTGTAGCTCTTCTTACAGCCGGTTAGGGTGCCTGGAAGTTACTGAGCGTGTAAAGTATATTTTATTGAAGCAGCTTCTCTCTCGCTCTCTCTCTTTCTCGCTCGCTCGCACAGAATCATCGACGGCCTGGAAACACTGGATGAACTGGAGAAACTTCCTGTCAATGAGAAGACATTTCGACCACTGACGGAAACCCGAATAAAGGACGTGACGATTCATGCCAATCCTTTTGCTGGATAGACACTTTTCTCTTCAAGTGTGTAAATAGGCCGTTAAGACAAACTTGGACCCTACTATTTCCAATAAGCCTGTTGAAAAATATGTCATTGAAAAAATACCATGCTTTAGTTACAATAGATGACCTGTCAGAGGCTAGAAACCAGATTAAAAGCCCCAAGACATCAACTGACTCTATTTATGTTATGCTGAGCAACCCCCCCCCAAAAAAAGTACCACCAAAATAAATATGACTCATAAGTTGTTATGCGTTTACAAAAACAAACAAACCTAGTGGTAAATAAGAGAATACTTTCATTGCTGTCCATGGAGTAGTGCTAGACCTTTCCAGATGGTATACTTGTTGTTGTATGACATTCTCTGCATTACAATTTATGGGTCACCCTTTTCTATTTGTCGTTCAGTTTAGTCAAAAGGGAAAATGGCCGACAACTGCAGACTAATCTTTAATTTTTTTTTCAAGAAAGAAAATGAATGCATTGTCAATGTTTTGTACTAAATAAACATTTTGTAAAGAATATTTTTTCATATTTTTAAAAGTCACCACTTCAAATTACTAATATTGATAGACTTTTGACCTTTTAGTTTTATTTTTTGACCTAAGATTTGTTCGACATTTTTACCATTATATTTTTTTTTAAACGATTTTTCAACCTAATAACTTCTCTTTCCACGACATATTTCATGTCCATGCTAAAGTCGTAGGTCCGTAAAACAGGCGGCGCCGTCAAACCAGTGATGACCTACTACGTCATCATTAGTGGCCGAACCGTGTCGAGCAGACCTCAGCAATTTCTTGCAAACTAGTCCAAAAACTCCACACAAATGGCCTCGGACGATGCGTTTAAAGTAAGTCTACGCTGTTTGCGTGTTGCCTTTACCAACTTACTTACGGTCCATCTATTCATCGTAAAGTGACGTAACAACGGTGTGCGCGTGCGTTCCAGGTGTCTTCCCTGAGGGGGAAAGTCGCCCTGATAACGGGGGCCAGCTCGGGCATCGGCGCGGGAGCGAGTCTCCTGTTCGCCAAACTCGGAGCCCTGTTGGCTCTAAACGGCCGCGACGTGGACAACCTGAAGAAGATAGCCAAGCAGTGCACCGACTGCGGAGCAGCCGAGGTAACGTGACGTGACGTGACGTCACACCGGCCGGTACGCTGACGGTAACGCGGTGGGACTTGGACGAAATATCAAGTTGATAGTAGTGTAGTTACCACTTAAGAGTCCCAATGCACTAGTGTGCGCACAAAGGAACATTTAGGAACACCTGAGCTTGTTTTACAGTTCCACACTTTGTCAATGGGACAGTGTGTCCAAACCTTTGACTGATATGAAATAGACGGATCGGTGTTAATAAAAAGCCTTCCAGACACCTCATTTAAAAAGCAATCACACCGTTTCCTCCTTTTAAAAAAAATGAATTCTTCATTATTGGTTGAAATAGGAATTTTTGCAAACGACTTCTTCGAGTTGGGGTCACGCAAACCACCTCGTTTCACGTGTGTCCATGTAGCCGCTGCTCGTGACCGGAGACCTCACCGACGAGGACACGGTGAAGAGGACGGTGGAGCGGACCGTCGCCCACTTCGGCCGGCTGGACGTCCTCATCAACAGCGCCGGGATCCTGGCCATGGGCAGCATAGAGACCACCGACCTGGCCCAGTACGACAAGGTCATGGACGTCAACGTCAGGTGGGCTTCATCACACCACCAACATGATTTGTCCATGTGTATTAAATACAGCAATTGACAGTTGAACTGTTGCACGTCTAGAAATATACATTTACAGTGTGTGTATTTTTTTGATCTAATTTTCTAGAGCCGTTTACCACCTGACTCAGCTTTGTGTGCCCCACCTGATCAAGACCAAAGGCTCCATCGTCAACGTGTCCAGCGTGAACGGGCAGAGATCAGTGGGTATTACGGCCGGCCGCGGAGTCACTCACAGACACACACACACACACACCCGCTTCACGTCTTTGCTGTGGTGCTTTTTGAGGATCACCACACACACACACACACTGTTTCCCCTCCGTAGTTCCCCGGCGTGCTGGCCTATTGCATGTCCAAGTCCGCCATCGATCAGTTCACGCGCTGTACGGCGCTTGGTGAGTGAGGCCTTTTTTCACCCTCTTCATACTGCGTGTTACTTGAAGCACTGGAACGAATGACAAGTCCATCATTTACATTTGCAGAGCTGGCATCAAAGCAAGTCCGAGTGAACTCTGTCTGGTAAGAGGATGAAGGACGGGCTCGTGTATTTGTTTTTTTTTAGTATCAACTGTATTAGCAATGCTTATCGTATAATATTTCAGCCCGGGTGTGATCATCACCGAGGTCCACAAGAGAGCAGGACTGGACGAGGACCAGTACGCCCAGGTAACGCCTCACGCCAACACTTGGTTGTGTCGCATCGCAGCGCCGGGGAAGCGATGAGTCAAAGAAACCCCCGCGTGCCTTCTCTCTCTCTCTCTCTCTCCCCCCCTTCCAGTTCCTTGCAAAGTGCAAGCAGACCCACGCCCTCGGCCGCCCGGGGGAGGTGGAGGAAGTGGCCAACAGCATCGCCTTCCTGGCGTCCGACGCCGCCAGCTTCATTACCGGAGTCAACCTCCCCGTCGACGGCGGACGCCACGCCATGTGCCCGAGATAAGAAGATCATGTACGCGAAGATAGAGGCATGAAATCGCTCTTTCAACCTCTTTTTTTTTATTTTTTTGGTTCCCGCTAAGACTGATAGCGCAGCTGACAGAGAATAAAGGAAGGGAAGTGCTTCAAGGACACAATTTGTCCTCCGTGTTTACACGGGTAGCTGTCAGGATTTGACAGTTCCACGTGTGAAATGAATATCAGGAAGCTTAAACCGCAGGCAGCGTGAATGAGTCTTATTTTCTCGCTTTGCCATCGACTTTTCTTTGATGTAAAGAAAAATTAAAGCTGCTTATCATCAAAAGGTTTCTGACTTTTATTGAATTACTTGTTGAGTCACTACTTCATTCACACAGCATAAAATGTCCACACAGATTAAACGCTGAGCGCTCCGGCACCAACCACTTTATGTGTAGTAATAAAATCCTCTGAGTTGATAGATTGGCAGAACCAGTCGCAATTGTTGCACAGAACAGTAAATAATCCAGAGGGAGATTTCCAAAAATACAGTTGATTGTCAGACAGATTAATAAAAAAAATCCATAATGCTCTAAAATGACCTTTTATGACACCGATGTCTGGTTTAGAACTAGAAAACTAAATAGAATCCTCTGTAGATAACAAAAAGGTGGCATAATTATAGACATTTCCATTTTGACAAATTTGAAAACCTAACGTCTCGTGTCAGACAGAACAAAGAATATTGAAAATAATACCATGAAAATATAATTTAATGAATTTGGGCTGAGTCTTATAATTTACAATCTTCCCTTTTGGTTTTCCTCATGAAGCACAGAGCCGGCTCGGCGAGTGTCGGCGATTGTAGCGTGCGGTGTCTCCCTCCCCCTTTGTCTCCCTCCCCCTGTGTCTCCCCTGATTGCTGCGAGATGAGCGGTGCAGGGCGAGGTAGCGTCAGAGAGACTGACCCGGAGTCAGCGTGTCTGAGGCACACTGCAGACCTGAATGAGTGATGTTCTGTTTATAACGTGCGCGCCCAGAGGCTGTGGACAAATAACTATTGCACTTCATATTACAATGTACAGTACATATACATGTATAAATAATACATAAACTTTGAAATAGGAATTTTTGCATTTGCCGATGTAACTGTCCCATTTATGTACAGATCGCTCTTCTGCTAAATCGGGTCACAGCCCGTGAAGAAAATATGATACAACATAGATGATACAACATAAATATGATACAACGAGACGTTGGTGTTACTTCCTTCCCGAAAGGAAAACGCACAAAACCAGTCTCTGAAAATAAAAATGAAAAAAAGAAGATTATTTTCCAAAGGTTGATTTAGTGCTAGAAGTCTTATCTCTGGGCCTTCTTTCTCCGGTGCCCCCTCCTTGTTTCTGCAGTCCAAGCATATTTCGTGGTCTGTTGCCGTGGAAACCATTTGCCTCCCCTGTCCACCTTCCTCCACGGCCAACCCCCCCCCCCCCACCCCGACGCAGGGGCCTATAAGAAGCACACGGGTCCGACCTCCAGGTGAAAGCGCGCGCCGCGTTCTCTGACCGCGAGGTTGTACACGTCCACGATGGGGAGTAAGTTGGGGTCCTGGGTCTGGAAGACGAAGTGGGTCTGATGCCAGCGGCCATCTTTGATCTGGAAGTGAAAGGTGGGGTCAGGCCGTGGGACGCGCTGACGGAGAGAACGACGTTCTCAACGCATTGGAGTTTGAAAAGAAAGCCGCGGCGCTTACCCAGCAGTCGTCCCGCAGGACGAGCGGCTCCAGGAGGTCGCCGGCCTGAATGGTCTCCCCCGTCCAGGCCCTGAAGCTCACGGCCCGGGGTGACGGCTGCAGCGAGGGCCCCGCCGCCCACACGGGCGTGTTGAGGCAGTGCACGGTGATGCGCTGCACGGCCTCGGTGCTCAGCAGGTGGATGAAGTTCATCTGGATGCGGCCGGCGGCCATCTCCAGCTGTGACGCGAGAAGGTGTGGTTCTCAAATAACTCGGATTCAGCAAACGGGATCAATTACTCGACTCGGTTCAAATGAAAAAGTACAATCTTTAGACTCCAACTTGAATGTGAATATAATACAAGCATCTAGTGTACAGCTGTAGTAGTCTGTGTTTTTATGGCTGTAAAAATCCATCCCAAACATTAATATCCCAGAGGATATTCTAAGCGATGAGAGTTTACGTTCTCGCGGCAAACAAGTAGTGATCCACACCTTGGACACCGTGATGGGCTTCAGACACGTCTGTCCTACCCCGGTGAAGTTGCACATCACCTCAATGGTGTCAGCAGCACAGCCGAGGTTGGGATCGATCCAGTAGGTCCCTGTCGGGTGGGGGGGGGGGGGGGAGCAGGCATTACGTGACGAGAACCCCCACGTGCACCAAGGGGACCCGAGCGCTTTGTGTTTTAGTGTCTCCTCACCGTCGTGCATCCTCTGTTCACAGCTGTGCAGGTCCCGGCAGATGCGCGCGGGGTTGTCGCGGTTACCCAGCGGGTTCTTCAGACTCTGGATCAGAGTGCTGAGATGCTGCAGGGTCTTGAGGATCTCCGTGCCTTGGTCCAACATGAGCAGGTCCGTGCTCTGATGGGTCTGCTTCGGGACATGATTACCTTGTAATTTCCTTTCTGTTTCCACCCATAATTAGATCAGAGGGAAACCCATCGGGAGCCCAGCTGTGATGTGTGTCCGTGAGCAGATGCTGGGAACTAACCTCGGGCCGATCGATGAAGACTTGAAAGGCGGCACCAAGAGCCTCGTTTCTCTGCAGGAGCAGAAGAGAGCAAAGCGATGAGGTGACAACACAAATAGGACTTTTCATGACCTGCTATATATTTTACGTGACATCTGAAATGTACACTTTGCTGTGACTTTCATGACTTGGCATAACTGGTATTTTTGTAACTTTTTATGACGTCCTGTGAATCTGCCGTACCATGATTTACAAATAACGCCATGACATTCTATAATATGATTTTACACATATACTACTACAAGACTTTGGGGAATTTGTGATATAAAATATTTGTGAAATGTTATTTGGTTTTTATGAACCCTCGTAGAAATCTAATCGCAGTTTTATGATGTTTAAGAGACGGATGAATCTTTTTGGAGGAAATCCATGAACAACACTGCTGACTGCCGGCTACTCGATAAGCAGGGGACCAGATGGGGACAGCTGTGATTCACCGCGGGTCCACTAACCAGGCCCCCCCCCCCCCCCAGCGGTGCATCTGATCTCCTAATGACGGATTCCATTGAACGTACCACATGTCACAGGAACAGCCGGTGATTCATGTTAATGAATTAATTTAACTTCTAACTGGTAAACCAGAGGCAGAGGAAATTGAATTAAATGAGGGGACCCGTGAAAACGCTTCATTACTGACAGCGGAAAAGTCCAGAGAGGAGATGAACTTTACGTTGTGTGGAACCTCTACAACTCTCTAATATATATTCTCTTGGTTGCCACCGACAACCGGAGGTGGAGAAGACAATTCCAGGTGTGGCTTGTCACTCTCGGGGCAAAAATGATTAAGTGCTGATAACCTTTGACCCCGACGGAACCTGTGAGCAGACTGAGGACATTGGAGCGCATTCAGGCGAATCGGTGGGAGGGAAGAGACAGCGTGTCTCATCATCGGCGTCGCCCTGGTTATTTGTCCTCAGCTGCAGTGGTTTGAATCGGATTCACCAGCCAGTGAATTTAAAAAACTAAATCTAGAGAGTCGTTATGAAATAGTAAACGGGGCCGACGTCATGGAAATTGTGGTATTAAGAGGTTACGGTCTATTTTTAAATGAAGTCATTAAGAAATGCAATCTTAAAGTTTTGAGATCTTTAAGAGACAGATGTAGTAAGCTTTTAAATAAAAAATGTGTATTTTTTGACCCAAGTGTTTTGTCATACATTTCTATTAAACTGTGTTTTTGTGAAGTACTATACATTTGTTTGTTTTTTACTTTTCACTATATTTTTACCATTTCATCAACTTACTGGAGAAATATACTTACAAGTAAGAGCGAGGAACTGGGAAGACCCTGAAAAAGAGAAAAGCTTGTATTTTATTCTCCACCTGTACTGCTGTTTGTTAGAAACAGCCATTCAGTCCATTTGTACAGTTTGTATCGTAACGACTTCTATAAATAATATTGTCCACTTTTTTGGCTGGATTCTCATCCAACATGCATGTATGCACAAACGCAGGCAGAAGTGTAGACTGAATGAAAGGGGAGTTTTGACTTACTGGTGGTCCCGGTGGTCCACGAGGGCCACGAAATCCCTGAAAGATTTCAACACGACATTAGCCTTTAAATGATTTGGCGTTTGTAGAAGACGATCGAGTAGTTGATTGATTTGGTTCGAGCACCGAGCCGAGGGACAATAATCACTCACCATTGGTCCTGGCAGCCCCTGCAGGAAACAAAAAACACAAAACATCCGTATTCACTAGTGGACAATCCCACAGAAATAGTTTGAGAGCAGATATTATTGTACCACGTGCAGTGTAATGCCGTCTTTGTGCCGACCCAATCTGCAGTTTGTTCAACCCTAATTTCCTACAGCAGACCCATCCCTGAATGTCGGCGTTTTCTTTTTTGTAGGACTGAGCTCGTGAAACGGGCCTTTGTGCGAGCGCTCAACAAACCACTTAAAAAGCTTAAGACGCGCACGCGGCCGACATTCATCACGCTGACAGGAATTCCACAGCAGCTAAGTGTCACTGTGAGAGTGTGAGGAACCAACAGCGGAGCCGCGACAGGAAATGAAAAGCGCCGAGGGGCCAAAAAGGAGGCCGAGCGCTGTGCCTTCTCCGTACTGAGCCTCCTAGCCTGTGCTCACAGTGCAGACAAACTGATGCATCAAAACACCCCCACGCACCGTCTCCCCCCGACTTCCTTTGTCACCCACGGCTCCCTGATGGAGAGAAAAGGAGACAGAGGATCACTCCATCACTGCCAAAAAGCAGGGGGAAGATAGACAGATGGGATGAGATATGGAGGTACGTACGGGATGACCGCTGGGGCCAATGATGCCGACGGGGCCCGCGGCCCCCTCCGTTCCCTGTGAAGGAGAGAGGCATGCCGGTTGACTGACGACACATATGATGGAGTGTCCGGCGGAGCGCTGCTTATTTTTCACGGACGGTGTGGAAGTTTGGGGGAGTTCAGTGCACTGAGAGTTTCCAAACTGCGGTTAATCTTCATCTTACCAGCAAGCCACGTGGTCCTTTTGGTCCCTGAATCCCTGCTGGGCCGAGGTCTCCCAGGGGTCCCTAGAAAGGCGGATAAGATATGTTAAGTTTAAAAGGTTAAAACCAGACTGAACATTCAATGACTTTTGTTGACCTCTATGGACAAGAAGCAGAATTTGTTACATTGATGACTTTCTCCGAGGTCATCAAATGGCTACAAACACGTTAATGCTAAAGCAACTGAGGCGTCTGTACCGGTGTCTTTCCTGTTTAAAGACACAGGTAAAATACTCTGATGGCCGATTCTAACGTTGGTTGCCAAATAAACTTTACAAAGAGAAAGCACGTTCCTTTTAAACACAATATCTGTTGGTTTTCCAATGTGATTATTCTGCACACCCATCGAAATGCATTTGAATTCTTTTCAGCTGTTATCAGCTTCTCCATTTCCCGTGGGCAATGTTACAATGGGGATTAAGAGCAGGCTCTAAATTAAGTTTGCATATTAAAATAAGTGCATCCCAGGACACCGACATGCTATTCAGTATGCCAGAAAAACAGATTATTAAGGATGTCCTCCAGCACCCACACATATTTTGCAGTATGCAAGCCAGAGCACTTTTCGAAACTCACGTATTTTTTGTGCTTAAAGAAATCTCTTACTCAATGCCAAACTTGTTTATTCCCCAGCTAATTGTTTTTAAAGAAAACTCCACACGGCTTTTATTTAACAAATTACCCTTCACTGTCACGACGTTACGGTTTGCTTTGCTAAAAGCAGTCCCAGCGCGTTCCCCTCAGGGAAGGGGGGGTTAGTGACGCCGTCCCGTTCTTTGAGAGCGGCGATCTTCAAAAACGCTCCTTCGGAAGCTGTGTGGTGCAGTGCTCCTGTTTTAGTCTACTGGCAGTGAGGCCATGTTATGACGCACGTTATGACGTAACCTTCTCACACACCAGCAGCTCAACGACACACGTGGGCTTTAATCTGCCATAAAGCTGTCCTAAATAAATGGTTACTTATTGGTACTTCTATCATAATAGAGGAAGAATAAAATAATTCCCGTGTGGAAAAGTTTAATAAGAAACTGGAGTAAACAACTTATTCTCCTATCTGGAATACGGTCGATATTGTTGCACGGCAACCGTTGAACATCACTCCGGGGCTCGACTCCGGACGCTTTTATCTGGCGGCTTAACTCCAATTACTCATAGTCATTGCTCCGGAGTTAGAGCAATTACAATAAACTCCACTGAACGCTAAGCTCATCTGCTTCAGACGCCTGTTCAACTCCCACAGTAGGAACCCGTCCAAGATCGCCCTCGAGGTTTTGAATTGAAGAGCGAGACTACTGCGGGTAAAGCCCGCTCTGTTTCCTCAGCTGGCAGTAATCTACGGTGCCGCAGTGCTGCGAGTAAAGCTCACGAGGCAGCAGATGTCATCCTGGGGCGTGTTGCCGTGATACATAACAGCTTTCCTATCAATTTTTCACTCGGGACGAAATAATGTAACGTACCGAAGGACGGATTTTAAAACCTCAAACTCCACAAAAGCACTTCGACCACAACGGGACGTTGGTCCACACATTGTGCACGCTTTTGGGTGGACTTTGTTTAGAATGACCAGGTCCGCTTTGTGTGCGCAAGTACCTTTGGTCCAAACAGACCGAGCACCCCTGGAAATCCTCTTTCCCCAGCGTCCCCCTGGAGAGCAGCAGAGAAGAAGAAGAAGAAGAAGAAGAAGAAGAAGAAGTATAATCATCTCCAGCACTGAACAAGCAGTAAAAAGATGCCACGTAAAGTTATTTCACAAAACCAGTGCTCACCGGTTGGCCTCCGTGTCCCCGCTCTCCTGGTTGCCCTGGCAATCCCGTCCCGCCAATAGAGCCCCTTTTCCCTGGAGCACCAGTTTGGCCTCGAACGCCCCCCTCACCCTGCAGGGCCAACACACACACACACACACATAAACACATGCCAACCCTCCAGCAAGGTGACCTGTAAACAGACACGAGTCCCTCCCTGGCCTGCCGACACTCGTTATTCCATCCGAAGTAGGAAAGCAAACCAGGAAGGACGAACGTCTGCTGAGAGCGGACCCGCTCATCTCAACCGGGCCGCCCCCTTAAAACCTTTACAAGACGCAGTAAAACCAAACTACAGCTCATCTCATAAACAACTGGTCAGATCCAATGAACGTCTGCACGCTGATCACCGACATGTGATCGGATCATAGAGCCGCTCCAGGGTTTCTCACTGTTACGCTTGTGTAACTTTAATGTAACCATGAGCACCAACACAGTGGTGCCGACTCGACACTCATCTTCTGCGATTAACCGCTGCGAAAATGAGCTGCACAGAAAACACGGTGGCGTCGGGAGATTGGAACGCACTCGGAACATGAAGGCGGCGCCTGTGGCGCCCAGGAAGGTCGGCGCGGCAGATCACTGCTGAGTTAATGGCAATTTCCATAATGAAATCAGCTGCATTGTAGAAAAATAAAAAAAGCTTGAGCTTTATTTCAGGACACATGAGTCCATATAAAAAGCTATAAAGACAAATACAACTAAACTGAATGAAAGAGGAGACAATCCTAACCCCCAACCCTAAAACCCTAACCCCCAACCCTAAAACCCTAACCCCCAACCCCCAACCCTAAAACCCTAACCCCCAACCCTAACCCCCAACCCCCAACCCCTAACCCTAAAACCCTAACCCTAACCCCCAACCCTAACCCTTTGCGATCACATCTCATGATAGCTTAACATTAAGTTCTTTGTGAATAAGACTTTTTAACCTCATTCCCACCTTTGGTCCAAAGGAGCCTTGACTTCCAGGAAGCCCCGTCTCGCCAGTTGTGCCCCGCTGCCCAGGTTTGCCATGTAAGCCCACCTCTCCGTCTTCTCCTTGCTCCCCCTTAACATGGAGGATTCAAGGAATCAACGACGGCGTAACGTCACGCACAGTTTGGTGAACGGCTGGCTGGAAAGGTGAAGCACTGACACCGTCCTCACCTGGACTCCTTTGGTTCCATCTTTGCCGGGCAGTCCGTCCAAGCCGCACAGGCCCTCAAGCCCCTCCCTGCCCGCCACTCCCCGGGGGCCGAGCGGACCCTCCGGACCCTTTGAGAGAACAGAGGTTTACGCCACAGCTCGCGTTGGTCTTTCATATGGAGCTGCACCGTGGCGTCTGGAGATGAAGTGAGAAATGAACCCAACTCACTGGTGGTCCTTTGGTCCCAGATGAACCTCTCGCCCCCGACTTTCCTTTCTGACCCTGTCAAGAGTTCATGTTCCACACTTCATGGTTCCACGGCAGTAAATGCAGTTCACAGCAATTGAGGTTTTCTAACAACAAATACATGCGACTCTATGTATGTCCTTACTTGTTCACCTTTGGATCCTTTCAGGCCCGGTCGTCCCTTCGGCCCCGGGTGTCCCTAAAATGTTCATTGCTGTTTGAGTCGTTTGCAGAAAGTGACGCAATGTCTTCAAATCCTCCACATTTTCAAAGCTGTGAACGAGACACTTACAGGAAGCCCAGAGGCACCAGCTTCGCCTCGCTTTCCATCCACGCCCGTTAGACCCTGAAACAAAGACGCCTCTGCACGTCAGTGCACAGAAGTCACTTGAATGCAACTGACGCTTTACCTGAGGTCGATAACAATAGTCAGTTTGTTTCTACATGTCCCTTACAATGTGTCCGTGATCACCTGGCTCTCCTCTCTCTCCTCTGCTCCCAGGAGGACCCTGGGTTCAAACGCAAACAAAGGAATCAGACGACCACTAGCGAAGGACCGGTTTCTGTAAAAAATAAAAAAAAACTCACTCTGTCACCTCGGGGACCTGCTGGACCTTCGACTCTGCTGTCGTCTCCCTGTTCGCCCTAAACAAGCAATGAAGTCACAGACGCACAACCACAATCAATGGAATCTCCCTCAAACCTGATGATTCGTGTTAAGATCAATGCACATTTGGTTAGAGAGAGTGGAAACACACATTGCACGCTCCCTTTGTGTGAACGGCAGCTCATTACATGAGCTATTAACCATTTCACTGTAATGGTGCCAATGTCCGTTTCAGGGGTTTTATGGATTTCGTTAAACAGGCACCACAGGCGTGAGCGTGATTGCAGTAGTCATGCATGACGCACGTGTCGTATGAAATAAGTAGACGTAAAGCCCGACAGGCATCTAAAGGTAGGAGAATAATTAGTGATGGCCAGCGGCCAAGCACAGCTGACGCCTACCCGGGCGAAAGCAATACACTTTTATTATAGCTGTGAGACAGGTGTGTATTTATCCGCAGCAGGTTCCCCAGGGTCACCCGTCTCACTCGATCGGCGGCCGCGCACTGTGTAACGACCGGTGTGATAGCTTGATACTCATTTAATTACAAAGCAAGCAGAGCCATCATGCTGTAGATGTTGGCAAAGAGAGAATAACACGTCTCCTGCCCAGGGATACAAAATTAGTGTCCTACTAAATTGTTCCATTTTGTGCGGCTTCTGTCAAATAAACACAAATGATGCTGCTGATTTCCCCCAAATCATTATATATGATTATAGAGATTAGACCACTCTGAGCTGATTGGATGTGTCCGAGTTCATATCGGTGATCAAATTAGGGATGACTATTAAGAATAATATTCAACTGTAGAACCAATGTGTTGACCAGCAGAAGACAATGAGCTGCAGGACAGTTTCACAATGCAACCGAGTGTCATTAGGCTCAAAGAACAGAAGGCGATTGAAGCGAGCGAGTGAATGTGGTTATGTACCTTTTCACCTTTAGGCCCAGGAGGTCCCAGGAGGCCCTGCCATCCCCCGTGACCCTGCGACAAGAAAAAGAGTTTGTGACCGTGAGCAGCCGGCCTTCCCTCCCGACTCCCCTCCGCGAGGCACCACGTCCCTAACGGAGAGACACACCGAGTCCAGGCGGAGACAAACTTCTGTAAGCTGAAAACGCACACCGCTGTCGCCAATCAACGCTTCATCTCATGTTGCCGTGGGCGACGCAGGTTGAAGATCCGTCAGGCAAGGCGTTGTTATATGTGTCATGTGTCTTAACCAGAATGCATCATACACAGATTTTATTTTCTCTCTCTTATCCAAAAGAAAAATGTTAAAAAATTAAAAAGCTTCCCCAGCGCACTCTGCTGATCTTCAGATAAGGAGAAGTACATTCATGCCGCTTGCTAGGAATCGACAACGCACTCGCTTTGTGCCGTGTCCTCTGTTTAACACCTGCGTCCTTGTGTGGCGTCCACAGGACACGACACGTCCCTTTCTGCCGTCTGGTCATCAAGCTACCGCCTCATTGCCTCCATCTAAAATGCCATTAATCAAGATACGGTGTCTTATTTCACTCTGCTTTACACGGAATCACGAGAACGGAGTTTATTTCTGTTGGAAAACGTCAGATCCTCGGAGTGAGGGGGAGGAACAGAACCCCAGAGAACCGGATTCAACGTGCGATTCATCAGCACCAGAAGAACACGGGCGGTGAACCGTCGGCGGGGGTCAATATTATCATTCAACGCTGCAGGAAATATTCACCGGCATGAAACACCTTCAGAAAATCAATCCAAGCTTTTGAGCTTAGAATTTCTCTGTGGGAAATGTAGAAATAACCCAAAGAAAAAAAAATCCCACACACACTAAATCGACCCCTCTGAATACAACGGAGACGTCTCTTCATCAGGTGTTGAACTTGTTGGTTTGTCATGACGGTATGAAAGCATTATGATACATCAATCCAACACTTTAAACACTTAATACACCTCGTAATCACTTTTCAAGCACGATCACGGAGATTTATTACGTTTTCATGGAGCCAAATAAATTACAACCACATTCATGAGACACGATAATGTATTAAAAGACTTTTTGTTGTCTGGAGCCGGCTTGGCCTCTTTAGTTTTATAACATCACTGCATCACTGCTCTTACCTGGTAACCCGATAGGCCTCCATCCCCCTGTTGGCCCATTCTCCCCGGGGCACCCTGGGCAAATATACATACATATATCCTGTATATGAATACACAACAACCGAGCAAGTCCATGAAACTCTCTGTGGATGCCTCACCCCCGGCCCGATGGTTCCTCTCGCTCCCTTCAGGCCGACACACCCCGTCCCCCCCTGCTCACCCGCCGGCCCCGACTCACCCAGGGGACCTTGGAGACCGTCGCTCCCCTAGAGAGGGAATGTCAACGACATACTCATGGAGGGGACTGTCGGTTTGCCGCCACAGCCGAGAACCAATCAACAACGGAGCAGGTCAACAGACATCCCAGAACCAAAGGTGGATTCAGCCGCCTAAGCGAGGCGACGGACAAACCTTTTCTCCCGGTTTTCCTCGTTCACCAACAACGCCGGGTTTACCTTCCTGACCCTGTAGATCAAACGGGGTTGTAAGTGGACAACGAGAGCCGTCTCTCCACGGGGGGGAGGAATAAATTGCAGAGGCGGCCACCGAGACGCTCACCCTGACGCCGACCAATCCGGGAGGCCCGGCAGCCCCGTCGTCTCCTCGCAGACCCATTTCGCCCCGTTCGCCTCCAGCGCCTTCCTGACCAGCATCGCCCTGGTCGCCCTGGGATACAACACGTATTACACACACACAGTTTAATTCGATTAAATAATTCATATACAATAAACACGAAAAACATGACATGCTGTGTGTTTGCCTTTAGGTTTTTCTTGTTATTTACTTTACTGACCCAAATGTTATTGCAAAAGACTTATTGAGAGACAAATATGGTTTATCTGTGAGGCAACCGATGTTGCAGGCGCGCAATACAACAGGCTTTTGCTATATGGTTAAGACTCACACAGAATAACAAATAGCATCACTTCCAGCAGGGGTGTCTTGATCTTTTCCTACTTTCCCTCTCTTCATTTTAGCTTTCTGACACAATACTTTAGCAGGCTTTGGCGCTCCTGAAATAGCCCCGCTATCGGTTTTCACTAAGCGTCGACACAATGCAGCTCCAGCTGCACGAAGGCCAAACATCCCACAAACAACGGTCACCTTGGCCGAGGCACAAAAAGCTGCCACGGTGAACTGGAGAGTTCCCTGGGTTCACGGACCCGGGATTGAAGAGAGAATTAATCCGCGTTGACGTCAACGACAGGAATTTGACAGCCGGGCCGAAGTTTTCTTCCTTTGCTGTTGGCCGCAGCAGTGAGAGCCTATCAGTCGAGTTTTATTTGTAAACTTACCTTGGCTCCATCAGGTCCACTTAGTCCGGCCTCTCCATCAACGCCTGCCTCACCCTGACGGACACATCATACAAATATTATGGTTATACTAATATATATATATATATATAAACTCTGAATGAAGCGGGCTCCTTACTCTCTGGCCAATCAGACCCGGCTCCCCGAGGTTTCCTGTTGGGCCGACGTCGCCCTGCCAGCAGGAGAAGCACCGAGGTCATGACACTGGTGATGTTTTGGCATCTCGTGATGTATAAAACATACGCGGTCGACCACCGCGGTCGATTCTCTTCAGTACGTTTTGATTACAGAAATAAATAAACGGCAGAACACCTTTTAGTCTCACTGCCGTCCGTGAACAGTAAGATATTCAGCTTATCGGTAGTTAACTCTCCCCTACTTCCCTCACAACCATTAACAAGGACAATCATTTCCGTGTGAAATCAAATTAATGGCTGTTCTTCTTTCTTGAGGGGGGGAGGTGTGAGGCACTGAATTAATCGCGTAGAACGGCAGAGGCCCCCCCCCCCCCCCCCACACAACCTCACCTTTTTTTCCCGTTCGCCGGGCAGTCCGCTGTCTCCGGCCCTCCCCAGCGGCCCCTGTCAAAAAAACAGTGACAGCCTTTATTTAGCGCCGTGGAAGTCAGTCGCCGCCCTACAGCCGCCGGCGTGATCAGTTCTCACCCACGGACCCGTCGGCCCGAGCGGCCCGAGCGCTCCCGGCGGCCCCGCTGCTCCCTGCGGCGACAAAGCAGAGGCACCGGTAAAAAGATCAAGAGGGCTTTCTCGTCTTGGGCGAACGCCTCTGAACGTGAGAGTGAAGACAGTGGGAAGGAGAAGCGGAGAAGAGACGGCTTGTTTGGAGGGATGAATGAACAGTCCAAAGCTGCTGTAATGGAAACAGGCCTGCTGCTGAGACCAGAACCCTCCGACAAAGAAGCTCTCCAGGGAGGGAATGGTCTTAATCAAATAGTAGCACGGAATCAAAAGGTGACAATTTCATGCAATGGGTGAGAAGAAGAGTTCACAGCGGGTGCAGGAGGGGCCACATGCAGATGATGCAAATGTCACGGTGTAGAAGTAAAATGAGTAAAAATATAGGGATTTACAGAATGGTATGCCATGAAAACTGAATTCATAGTAGTCCATATGAAGAAAATCTAAAAATAAAAAACATAGTATAGCATGAAAAAAGAATGAGTCAGAGTAGCAGACCATAAAAAAAAACATCCTTAATGTCAAAAGATAGTATTAATTAAAAAAATGACGTCAAGTCATAGAAGGTCACAGTACCTTCTATGACTTGTGTGCTACAATGTGCTTTACGCTAAATGTCACAGCATTGCATTGCATGAATGACAAGAACTCCATTAAAACACAGAAATATAGCATTCAGATTGCATGGAACATACGAACAAATATTAAACTCACCGGCTCTCCTGCGATTCCTTTGGCCCCCGGAGGTCCAGAGGGGCCTTGGACACCCTGGAAAGAGTTGCGGGGTTCATGACGCACACAACCACGCTATTGTTATCGGCAGACACGATGCATCGCTGCGATGGCCACCAGAGTAGACGTGGCCACCAGTAGCAGCCTCACTTGTCCACTCACTGCCCCCCCGAAATGAATCCACCTGAAAAACCGGTGTTAGCCCAAATCACTTACTGGAAATCCCTTTGGCCCCGCTTCACCCGGCGCGCCGAGCTTTCCCTGCAGCAAAGTGACACAAAGGGGAAAATGAGTTCTCCGCGTCCAACCGATGGAGGGTTAAGGAGGCGTGACGGCCCACCGGCAGCTTAGTTCACCCGCTCCTCCCGCTGCCTGATGAATGACTTGAACTGATCAAGAGGTGAGAAGTAGCGAGATACCTTTTTCTAGCGTGGGGATTTCTATTTCATATATGTTACTTTATTTGTCCAATATCTACTTCTACCCCACCACTTTGGTCTACATAAGCGTCGATGATAATAATAAATAACAAAATGACAACAATAATGATAACAACGGTGGGCTTTCTTACTTCATACCCGGGGAGGCCCAATCTTCCTGGTGGTCCGTCGGAGCCCTGCAAAGAAAACCAACGGAGTAAACCGAGCTCTCCTTAAAAAAACGGTTAAAATGTTCCCGACTACCAGCACCATCAATAATTGAGTCCTCTTTGATTTAAGCTTCTGATAAAGCTAAAAAAAGATTAAACTAAAAGAATCTTCAGGTTTAAAAATAGTTATTAACTACAGTCCACTGGAAAAGCTGCTTGTAAAAGTTCTACCGATTTTTTTTCCCAGCGTCTGTTACAGAAATTAGCGCTATTTTGTTTTTATCCGAGCTCGATTTGAGGTGTCTAATTAGCGAGCTGAAGAACAGGCAGTTTTGGCGCTCAAACACCATCAAAAGAAAAGAGCAATGAACGGTTTCATCAACCGGACCACGTGCTCACCTTTACTCCAGTGGAGCCCTTGGCCCCCGGCGGCCCATCAGGACCCCTCGGGCCCTACGTAAAGAAAAAGGAGTTTGTCATTGACAAATAACTGGGGAAAACGTGGCCTTTTTAAGGCGTCACAGGTTGCGGCTGTTTCCCACTCTGTCCGCATCTTTCCACGCTCAGCGGCTCCGCCTGCACACTGGGCTTATTGTGAAGGCGCCTCGGGGAAAAGGTCAATAATCCGGGAGCTGATTCATCCTTGCCTTTAAAACTGGAGCAAACTATTGGCTGTCAGAAAACATTACAGGACTGAATGTGTCGGTTTGTGTCAGCGTCTGTGTTTGAGGAGCAGAATGCAGCTATATGAGGCGTTGGTTCCCCTGCTGCCTGCTAATAACATTGGAAAAGACCTTTGTTGAGAATATCAATCAATTTGAATAAGTTGTGTGATCATTAAAAGCATCTTACATGAATAAAGCTGACCTTGTCAGGTCTGTTTCTGCCTTCAATTACTGTTTGAGACATTAAAAATACATTTAATTTGATACTGAGCAACAATTAAACATCAGAGTTGATAACTTGACATCACCTTTCCAGGGTTATTTGGCTGAACACTAATCAAGATTGTTGGTGCTCGGGAAGCGATCGGTGTTATTGGCACTCAAAGAAAACATCTAATTTTCGGATCGAAAAACACATGACTAATTAAGATTGACACGTTTTACAGCGCAGCCATTTATCATCCATTTCTGAATGAGGAACATGACTTGTTTGCATTTCAGAGATCTGCATCACAATTGAACTCAATTTGAATGCACAGAATCAACAGGACACGCTGCTCCGGTGTGACTGACGTACGACTTGAAGCCCTCCACGTGGAATCTAAAAGAGCGTAACAAGGTCTGAGGGAGAAGCAACACGCATCCTCCAAGTCGCTGTCACTTCGTTTCTCCATTCATCTACATTCCTAAAAGAAGTGAGATGACTTCATTTAATTTAGTTTATTAATTCTAATTTAAAACACCCATCTTTAATATCCATGTCCTGAGGAGTGAAGATTGGATCTTTAGGCACAGCAAAAGGTTGTAATTGTTTTTTTCCCACCTTTCTTGTTGATGGGGAATTAATCAGAGGCTGGAATTCAATTGACCTGGTGGTAATTCTATTTCCCAAAGCCTTGATGTAATGTTCAGCTGTTACGGCTATAAAATGTTACACTCGTGACTGCTTGTGATGTCGGGGGGAGCCGTGTAAAACCAATCAGGACGAAATGCTTTAATTATACCACTTATTCATGTTTGATCAATTATTCATTCAGTCCAATGAGCCTGCTGTGCAACCATGGGCGATTTTGTCCAAATTAGGAAACTCAATTACGGAAAAAGCCAGCGAACACTGAAATCACACACACACACAAACGTCCAGACAATCTTTAACGTTTGGGGACGACATCACAAACGTGCCTCACAAAACATCCTCAAGCTGTACTTGGTTAGTCATTTATATTCTTTGGGGAAAGTTGCAAAGCAATCCTCACTTTTGCCTTTTTGATTTTTATTATTATCATTATTATTATTCTGCTTTGTGCTGATATATGGTCTCTTCAGTCGAGGTGAACATCCCTTCTTATGTCACCTACTGTAATGTTACGCAGTTCTTATTCCATCGATGGTAAATACACTACTTATGTGGTTGTTGTGCAGAAAAAGAAGTAATGCAACTCTTTCTTCGGGTGAAAGACCTGACAGCGAATGCAAGAGTGAAGAAACCATCTATGATGCTGATGTTTAGCGGGAATACGTTTGAGCACGCTAACAAGTGATTTCAGTGACTTACACCGCTGCCTTTGGTTCCTCTGATCCCGATGGATCCAGGTGAACCGGGGGGCCCCTGAATGTGTGGGACAAAAATATTCCTTGAGTTAGACCGCAGGAAACTATTCAAACTAAGACGCAAGGCAAATTCATTCCCATCGTCACTGCGTTTCTACCCGTGACCTCGAGTGTGACTTCACAGAGGTTTGAGTTCAGTGCACGAGAAGCTGCGGCATGTTAGCCGTGACTTACCGGGATCCCTTGCAGTCCAGGTGGTCCCGCCTCCCCAGGTACTCCGGTGTGACCCTGGTGTGAACATTGCTCAAATGATATCCACTGTATGCGATTCATCAAATAAATCACACATTATTTCTTCATTGTTTTGCGTGGACGGCCTTTTAGATGAGTAACATCGCATATCTCAGCCCCCATGCCTTACGTGTGTCAAATTTAATTCGCCCGGTACGAGAGACGGGGTCCAGACTTACTCCTTACCATCGCCCCCGTTTCACCTGCCGGCCCGGGGCCGCCGGTTTCGCCGCGATTCCCCTGGAGAGACACAATAAGGGGAACGTTGATTAGCTGTTGATAGATGAAATGATTACAAAATATGAAACCACAACTATGTCAATCACAACTTCACGCCTCACAAAGTGATGCCTTTAAATTATTGTTGCAAATTGTAATTGTAAACAATAAGGCAGCAAATCTGAGAGGCTGAAACCCGACGTCGTAGATCCTACAACATTGTGGTTTCAGCACTAATCCCCCCGGCGCATGAACGCAGAGGACTTTGGTGTGACGAGCTGAGACAGCTGACCTTTTCTCCCGCGACGCCGGTCTCTCCGACAGGCCCGACGAAGGCCGGCAGACCCTGAAGCAAAGAAAACACGGCGTCTTAACCGTCTCTCACTCGGTCGAGTTCCGTTTTAATAAAATGGGGATTCCGACTGAAACGCGCGCGCACGCACACACACACGCGGCGAGCATCAAACAGAAATCAGCAGGACGAGAAGAGAAAAGGGCCTTTACCCTCTCGCCAACTTGTCCACCCTCGCCAGTCATCCCGGTCTCGCCCTGCAGCGAAAAGCAGCCAATTAGCATTTCACAAACTTATTCATGCTTGTCTTTTTTAGTTGAAATCAGTCGAAATGTGCTCGGGGGGGTGCGTTCCCCCGCGGGCAGCGCAGAGAATTAACATCTCATTTACACATATTCGGCTGATGCACTTTTAATAAATGAGAGGGAATGTTCCGTTAAGGACGGCGGTAGCTCGTGGAGCTCGGGTCTGACCTTGAGTCCGTCTGGGCCCGTCAGTCCGGGGAATCCCTGCCTCCCAGGCCTGCCCTGAGCAGGAAGCAGAGAATAACAGCACGGAATGAAATAACAAACGCTACCCATCTCCCTTTTTTTGCCTTTGGCACAAAGAAAACCGACAGTTGAAGCCAAAACAAAAGCCCCCCCCCGCTAAAAAAAACAACCCTGGATTGATCCATAAAACAAGCTTTTCTATTACTCCCAGAAGACATCCAGTCACTTGTGATTGTTTCCAGTAATCACTTGTGGGTTCAACGTTTGTGAGACGGCCAACTGGAATCAAGCATGGGAAAAATAGAGCACTTCCTCGGAGGAGTTTAGTCTGGGATGAACCGAACCAACGCTGGACACAAACATAGTCACTGTTTGTTTAAATTAAACACAAGAGACAAAGCCATTCTTCTCGTGTTCATTTAATCTCTCTTAGCTGGGAATATAAATCTCTGTATGGTACAGAACAAACAACAGAGAGGACTGTGAGTTATTTCATAGAGCCTCTGGATTCAATAACATTAACTAACACACTCGAACGCAATAGAACAAATGATTGTGATGTTTCGGTAATTACCGCTCCTCATCCAGGGCATCCGTCTCCGAATGAATCATCCATTACGAGTATATTTGGGAAAGATGTGCGGTTCTCTTGGTCTTTTAAAAACAGCTCTAGAACCATAACCGGTCGTAGTTAAACGCTAAACGTGTTGTTGTATTTGTACCTCGAGTCCAGCGGGTCCAGCGAGGCCGACCGCTCCCTCGTCGCCCTGCCAAGACAATTAAATTCATTAGTTAATTAAAAAGTACGGGAGAGGAAGAAAGATAGTGTTATTTACTTCTTAACATATGTTAAGTCAACCCCACCTGAAGGCCGAGTGTTCCTATTGGACCGGGAAAACCTCGGGTCCCTTGCTTCCCCTGTGGAGGAAACACAGAGGATGAACTTCCATCTCTACCCGTATCTGAGGCGGTGATGTCCCTCGGCTGACCTTGGGTCCCTCGGGGCCATTTTGTCCTGGCGGGCCGATGTCGCCCGGGAAACCCTGTTAGGATGGACCACAGCTTCATCACCACACAGTGGCACACGGCACTTTGTCAACAATAGCAGCAATATAACACATTGAGCCGGAACATAATACTAAAGTAAATACCTCTGGGCCAGGAGGACCTGGCGAACCATCCGGGCCCTTTTCACCGGGTTTGCCCTAAGAGATGTCACAAACAGCCCCAACGTTATCACCCGCGTCACAACATAACAGCCCTAAATGGTTCATGAAGGGAAACGTTGTGTGTTACGTAACACAAATGATCGAATATAAAATAGAAAAAGACAGGAAATCAGCCTCAAAAAGCTGCATCTTCTTCTTTTGTTCATTTCAAGGTCAACTTAAAAAGGGAAATCTCCTTTTCTTTAAGCTCTAGTATTCAACCGTTGTTGCGCTCAAAATATTAAGGACGCTTCAGAGCGCCAACTTGCGTGATTAGTCTCCAGACTAATCTAAATCGACTACAATGAACGTATGTGAAGGAAAACTCTCCGCCAAGCTCTTTTTGGGTCATTTGATAATGTGCACGATGTACCTGCGTGCTTGAATCATCTAGACTTGGTTTGTCTCGTTACGTAGGTTTCGAACGTGCAATAGGAGATACCTGTAGTCCGGGTTTTCCAGAAGGACCCAGCAACCCGGGCGAACCGCGCATACCCTGCGGAACGAAAGCAGGAACATCATGCAGACGGACATCCGGGTGAGATACACAAACGCAACATCTTAGAAAGAAAAGGGCCTTCGGAGCAGAACGAACACGACGATGTTGACGTCTGAAGCCGCCTGGGCATCGGGGTGTCGACTAAAGGACACTTTGACGCGCCGGCAACATCGAGCATCGCACACTAATCCCATTGCGAACGGGGCGACCCGGCGCAGCTCCCCGAGGGCCCGCTGACACGCGCTCACCTTGTCCCCTTGGAATCCGCTCTCCCCCGGCTCCCCCGCTATGCCATCATCCCCCTGAGAAAACACAAAAAAAAGACATAAAGAAGCGTCCAGATGTTTGCGCAGAGCTCATTCGGGTCACCGGTCACTCGAGCCGTGCGCAGGTTTGAATGATCTGTTCCCAGTTTTGTGATTCTCCCCCTCTAGCGTTATTGTACATTGTAGGTGAGTAATGATGGAATATACATATGCAGATCACCTTATCACCTTTCAGTCCTGGTTCCCCAGGGTTCCCAGGTGCTCCCTTGGAAGCAAAATAATAACAAAGAAAAAGCAGATGAAGGACGGAACACGATTAAGGGGCTCAAAAGCCGATCTGAAGACACGACTACAAACCGCGTCACGTACCTTGAGTCCTGGTATTCCTGGTGTGCCCATGAAGCCAGCGGCGCCCACGTCTCCCTGCACACGTAAGCACACGCAAAACACACTTACAACGCTGAACGTCCAAACCAATCACGCCTTGAAGACAAGATACAAGGAAGGAATCAAACTTTCTCTTCGTACCACTGTTTAAATCAGTAGTTATAAGCAAATTATTTGAAGAAAAGCCAAGAATATATTGTATAAAATCCCAAAACATGAGGTCATTAAAGAACACGTACAATAAGACCGGTGACTCCGCATGGACCCGGAGAGCCCAGCTCACCCTGAGGAGAAGGGAGACAACAAAGGAGAGATGACACACACCCACAGCCAGGTAAGCGAGTGCACATTGGGTTCTTCGTCCACCGGTAGCCGGAGCGTTGTGTCCCTCCGCTCATTTCAGCATGGCAGATTTGACATGAAGATGTGCGCGGTGCGAGGGGAGTAACTGCTGCATCACCCCCCCCCAAAGCATCACTTACTGGCATCCCGTCAGGGCCGGGGGGTCCTCTCTCTCCGAAGTCACCGGAAAACCCCTGAGCACACAAACAGAACGGGATGGACGTGTAAACCAGAGAGGACACTCAGTTTCGTCTATCAAGTTCGCGCTGTCAAGAGCGCCTGAACGTATTTCACGTATCACGCGGTTTGACGCACCACGCGCAGGGGATCGACACAAGGGTTTCCCCCCCAAAAACGGCGGTCTAAGCCGGGACAAATCCATCGGCCACGGCTGAGCGCTTCCCGAGTGTCTCTGCGCGCTGGCGGGGGAACCGGACCCCACCGGGACGCGTCTGAACGGCAGAACAAGGCCGCTTGGCACGGAGACTGTGGACCGAGGCCCCCTTTTGTTTATTTCTATCTTTTCCAGCTGTCGCTTGTAAATTCGGTAATAGAGGCCACGTGGCCGCGGCGACCCGTGGTTACATCAGGGAGACAGAAAAGAACAAAAAAGGGATCCCTCGTCGGGAGCGATCGCATGGAGGCCTCGAGGCCCACAGGGAGCTGGAGAAGGCGCCTCTTTTGTTCCCGTGTTTAACTCTCATCGCGGCCCGGCGAGGCGGCTTTGGTCATGTGATCGGCCATTCCGCTGTGCACCGAATACAGCTTTTATATGATGAAAAGGAGAACGTTTCCCTACTTTTCATCCATGAAGCTAACACAGGAGGAATGAAGCTGCTGAACGTCACAAAATGAACATATTCTCTGTGGCTCTCGTTGTTTTAGGCTTTGGGACATGTGGAGCAAACATGGTGCGTCGTCACACCAAACGGCATTAACTGCTGACTCAAGACAGGCCCTGAGCTCACTTTTCACCACAGAGGAAGAGGACTGGCTCGCTCGCGACTTGGCTATTACGCCCGCCGTCCTATTTTCCTTCTTTTCTTGGCGTCGGCGTCTCGCTGACCGCTACTGCCTGATCATTTCAAAAACGAACACGTGCGCCGCGGCTCAGCTCGGGAAAACAGCAGATTAACACCAGCGGCGCAACACTCGATGCTGCATTAGGACGTCCCGTGGAAGGACGGGAAGACTCACGGCCATAAACGCCCTGCGTTAATCCAAAACGTTTACGAATCAGCTTCAGGCAAAGTGAGATTCAAAGACGAGGAGCCTCTGACTTTAATAAAAATTTAAAAAAAAGAGGCTGCTGATGGTGCAGTAATCGCCAGCGTCACGGGGACGGTGTGGACGTTGTCTTCTCAGAGTAATGCTCACTTAACGCTCTGTGGCCGTGGATGAAGACAAACAACCCTCGCGCTCATGAGGCTGCATCACAAACGTTCTCTGAGAAGTATGTTGAGAGAAAACTTTACCGGCCTACCCATCTTGCCCTTCTTCCCATGACCGCCAGGAATTCCCTGGAAACAGGAGAGGAAACACAGTTGAGACAGAGAGAGGAGGATGAGAAGCTAATGGAGCAATTAAAGAGAGTAATGTGAAAAACACAGAAATCATTAGATGGGACACAAAGCCTTTAGCCACGCAGAAGTGAAAGATGGAGTAAAAAGGGAGAAGCAACCTCTCTATTCTTAGATAATTATACCAAGATGAATGTTAAAATATTCAGCTCAACAGATACTCTAAAGCTTGGCAACAGCAGCAGCTGTTCTGTAGCTAACAGGTAAGGAATTGGGATAAATAATTCACTTTTAAGCTAAAATGGATGAGAAATCCTTAAAGTGGTCACAAGCCGCCTGGAATTATTCAACACAGTGATTTACCGTCTGTCGATGGAGGTATTGTGATACACAGTTACATTATCTTAGAAAATGTGAGTTCTGCTCGTGAGAATATTAAGTTGCAGTCAAATTAAGCAGCTCTCCTAATTGGATTGCTCTGCCAATATCATCAATATGCAACCAGAGGTTCATAAACTGAGCAAATATTCAATATTTTATGTTTGTCAAGAATGTGATTCACACAGGAGTATGTAGAAAGGGCTTTTCCAATTTCCAATATCATACACTGTATGTATCAAATAACCAGAAGCTTTAATCGTATGCAATTTACAGACAATTAGGCAAACTTTGTCTGCCGAGCAAAGTCATGTGATGTGATCGAACGTTCAAAAGAGCTACTAAAAGGACCTTCATCTGATATTCATTCATCAACTGGATCACAAAATGCTCATTTGCAATATTCAGGCTCGTGCCGTCGGCTTCAGGGGCACGTTGCTGTTGCCTCCCTCTCATCAAGACTGAATTGTACTTCGTCAGCCTCAACAAGCGGCGCTCGGCCCTGAGTGCCACATCATCATGCTAGCGTGCTTACTTTCAATAAGAAAAACCTCAGCACGTCAGCTTCTCAGCGTGCAAAGTCAGCACAGCCGACAGCGGAGATTGACAGAAATTGGTCATTAGTTTAAGGACAATGTTTTAGAATCGTCAAGTTGGACTAACTGTCCAGAAAGATAACAGTGCTACTTGTGTAGCCCAACACTGCCCTGGAGGTTCTTGGGATATTGATTCCTGACTGGGTTAATTGGGAGGTCGGTTTTCTTCATCCCTTAAATGCAGGATTATTGTGACATCTGGCTGCGGTAATTCAAGGGGTAAAACCTATTTCCACTCAGTCTCCCGATGCCACAGGCATTGACTCTCCACCGATACTCACTCTCTCACCGTCAGGACCAGGGAGGCCGAAGCGCCCGAGGAGACCTATGTGACCCTAGAGAGGAAACGGATGGAGGGGAGGGCCCACGAGAAGAGAAAAAAAGGAAGGCGGATTGTGAGATTTAGCAGAGGTGACGGACATTATGAAGAACTGTTTAAGAGGTCTACAGCACACAGAGCTGCAGCGGTGGAGCGGCGTTGTGCAGCCAAGCCTTGAGGCAAGTGTATATGCCCATGGACTGCATGGTGCTGGCTTCCACGATGTAGTCCAAGGGCACATACCCTCACCTCAGGGATCTCTGGAGAACTCTCAGCCAAACCTGCTCTGGGGAACGAGAGGCGAAGCAGGTAGTGGTGGGGGGTCAGCGACACAATTTACAACGGCATGTAATGACAAGTTAACGTCTGAATGCGTCACGGTCATGCTAAGGTTTTAAGATGTTTGGCAACCATTAGGACCGTTAAAAAAGGAAGCGCGGTTTCAAGAAAGCCAGAGTTAATCCTTCAGCACTCGGCGTGTACCAAAGGAGCCATCTGTCGTTATCATCACGGGGTTAACGGGGCCACAGGAGCGGCGTTTACTACGCTGGCCTTTTTCCCTTTTCTAAGTGCCCACATTGGTCGGGTAATTCCTTTAGCAGTCATTTCGCAGTTCGTTTAAGACGGCAAAAGTTCAGAGGGGTTTACTGCACAGAGGAGAGTCCCCCCCCCCTCCGAGCCCCTCAATGGAAGCCGAGCGAGGAGAAAATGAGTTACAAGTAAACAACGAAAGTCACTCTTTAAACGGCGCGGCGTCCGAGGTGCACGCGGTTTACGTCGATTACAAAAACACGCTGCTTTCTGAGTGTTTAATGACACACATTCATGTACATGTAGTAGTTTTTTCAACATCTACTTACCGCAATTCCCTTCGGCCCCATTTTCCCCACAGGCCCGGGTAAACCCTGCAAGTAACACACGGCAGCACAAAGGCCCACGGTCACCAACGAGCGGCAGGACTTAAAACACTTGATGAGCAAATTTATTTGAATTAATAAAAGAAAAAAAAAAATGGAATCAATATTCAAGTCAATATTTAAAGGCTGGGAAACATCTGCTGCATTCTGCCAGTCAGTGAGAGACTGGTTTAGATTTGTCTGCTCGCTCGCTATATTTGCACGTTTTTTTTTTCCCCAGAGCTGTGTCGTGGGTGACCGCGTCCAACCTGGCAACCCGTCGCTATGTTTTTATGGAGGTTGAGGAATAAAGACAGGCGGCTGAGTGTGCAGATAGAGACACACACACACACACACTCCCAACTGGTTCTAGGTAACCATTGAGAGGACCATAGGTCTATTCCTATAGGGGGGGGCGGGATTGTACTCATTCTGCCTTCCCGCAACATCCGCTAATTACGTCCATTAATTTCTCAGAGACGCTGTCAGCGAATCCACCGGAGCAGAAAATCTCCCCCTGCAACGGCAAAGGATCACGTCGGCCTCCGGAGGACTCAGAGCCGTGACAAGACGCTGCTGATCCACAGCCCACAGATGGTGGGTGGCGCCCAAACCTCATCCATCACGCACGGGTTGTCCACAGGGGGCCCACGTTATCAGAGACCCCCCCCCCCCCCCGGGGAGTGGACAGGTGAGCAAGGCGGCGTCTCGCTATTTATGGAGTGGACGGTGTCGGCGCCAGCTTACAGAAACGCATTTAGGAGTACTGATGAGAGAATGAAGATAATGGATGATAAAAAGGATTTCAGCCACCTCAAAGACAGGCGCACAATATCCAGCTGAGCGCAAGACACCGTTTTTGGTGAACTGAACTCAAGAGGGCGACTCATCTGTTCTCTCTTCGCAGTAACAAAGCGGCCCAAGCGGGTCACGCCTTCAGATCCTTCAGTTACGCTCACATCGATGGTCTTTGATTTCTGCACCGACTACAGAGAAGTACCGGAGACATCGAAGGCAACACCATTACATACGCAACGTGTGGCGCTCTCGGTTTGACAGAGGAAGCTTATTTTGTACCCTGTAATCTTTCTCCGGAGCGGTGCTTACAATGACATTTTATTTTATTTTTCCTCGCTATAGACCGGAGGCGCACGCCGCTGAAATTCCCGCCGCAGTCGCTTCTCGACGTCGTCGTGGCCTTTCGCTTTCATTCGGCCGCAACACACTTTTTATTTGGGTTCACCGAATTAGATTCTTTGAGGCTGACTGAGACGCCGATGGCCGGGGGTCCCTGCCGGGCATCCAATATCTTTTAAATTACATTATTTTATAGCTGCAGAAAGGAAAACCAATTGGGCGATAATTTCTTCATCATTATGACGGGGACAAAATCTTACTCGCAGAAATTAGCTTTATTTTTAAAAAGGTCAAAAATGTTTTCATACGGCTGGATTCACAATAGAGACGACTGTGTGTGTGTGTGTGTGTGTGTGTGTGTGTGTGTGTGTGTGTGTGTCCCTGCTCAACCAGCACCGAAACACTGGGTTTACTGCACCTGCCTGCCAGGATAGCCTTTGGCCCCGGGGCTTCCATCATCTCCCCACTCACCCTGGGGAGGGACAGAGAGACAGAAGAGCAGTCAGCGCTGGACGAGGTCAGGAGACCAACAGAGGGAGGAGGCAGTGAAGGATGGAGGGAGGAGGTGATCTGTAGGAAAAACTCTCATTTTCTTCTGCACACATGGTTTCTGTTGGAGCTGCAATTATTGCAAGAATAATAAGCTAAAAACGTCCAACAAGCACTTTACTTATGAAGTGAAAAGAAAAAAAAGAAACTCCATTTGGTCCTTTAGAAGAAATTCACATCTCACAGCGTTTCAATAAAGACCTTTTGTTCAGCAGAGTGAGTGTTGCACCAGAAAAGAGGTGCCGCTGCAGACGCTGAAAGCACCTCAACTAATCCGACAATAAGAGCAATTATGACGAGTTCCAGCCGCATGGCGTGAAGAACTACCGTGGGCACAGTTTGGCCTTCATTTGTTTATCCCCACCAACGCGCAGTTTAACATACGAGATTCCCTCCTGCGGTGAAACCGAACAAGATGCATCCCTCCGAGGGGGACGTTTAATGCTGCATGCAGGGAGAGATTAGAAACGAGGTTCGTTTAACAGCCACTTCTCCAAATAGCAGACATTAGTTTACCTCACAGAGAAGCGTAAATCCAGACGTGGACACTTAATCGTCCTTTTTGCATCCATAAACTTAAAAGTAATGTAAATGCCGTGTAAGCAGTTTTTTTTTTTGTTCCAGTCTGGGCCTTTTTATAACTTTTCACAGTCAGAATGTGGATGAATATTATTTGTATTATTATTATCAGTCAAATAAAAAGGAGAAACTGTAACTAAGTAGCAATGAATAGAAAATAGGGATTTCTGACATTCTTCAAAAGCACGTTCCAGAATCATTTAAGATTTGAGCTTTCAGATGATTTCGGACGACGACAATGTCTGCAAATCGCACACATTACATGTCGCTGAGAAACGCTGAAAGTAAGCATCACTTCTTTTCTAAAGTAAACTGAAATAAACTTGCATCTTTAACTCCAATGTACAAGTTCCACCAAATTAATAGTCCATCAAGAAGTAATGTCCTTTGGACACAAGATGTCACCAGTTATCTTCACCGGATCACAAAAGCATCAAATCAAATTCCCTGACAGGAATCACAGGGCCGCTTGTGCATGTAGAACCACGTTGCTATTTGAGTTCCCACAGAAAGGAGCCCGTCGTCTCCAGAGAGCGCTGGAGGAGACGGGGATAGTTCTCCCTTTTTTTTCCCCCCTGTGACGGAGCACATTCTTGTCAAAGATAGCGCACACAGGGTCTGGACTCAGGAAGGAGGAGGAGGAGGAGGAGGAGGAATGACCTCGGGACGTCCGAACTATCCAGCCCACTTGCCACCTCTGCCAAAATAAACCCCTCCTTCCCTTTTTTTCTTCCCGCCAACAGCTAACGTCCCTTCTCCCTCGCCGTAATGCCCGAGTGTCGGCGTTCGCAGTCTCTCCTGCTTTGTAACTATAAATGGAAGGACGCGGCGGACGGGGGGGGGACGCTGTCTGTTGGGATGAGTAAACACAGAGCGACGTACGGCTAACACGCAGCAGCATGATGAGGCTTCAAAGAGGGGGGGATCGTGTCTGAGGAGAACCAGAGAATTCACAACTGACCTGGTCTCTTTTACTTGTCTCCTGGTTGTTACTAAACCCTCCTATAACGTCTGCATTCTCATCTCCTGGTTTTATTTGCATGAATTGCAAATTTTAGCCCCTTCTTGTTACACTTATCGGCCTAAAGGAAGCACTACCATCATAATCATTGGATTAAGTATGTGTTAATTACTATGTGGCCCACACGTTGGTAGTTTGCTGATGCTGATAGACGTCGACGGAATGAATGATAAACATCAAGTACTCACAGGTTCCCCTGGCAGACCAACAGGACCGGGATGACCTTTATGCCCCTGTTGACAAAGAAGAACAAGAAGTTCCAAGAATGAGAGAGTAAAAATACCAGTATCTCATGTTATAGTCTGATCAAAGCACCACGGGGGAAGCGCGCTGCTGCGTGGTGCGCTTTGGAGAAAGAGGTTGTGCCAATGTCGCGGGTCGGAAATCAACAAATTTAAATCAAATCTTGTCAAGCACCTTGCGGTCAACGGCGCCTCGGTCAACTCAAATAATGTCAAATCGTGTCAAAGTGCTTCACTTGACTTTGTTTCCTAATAAAATAGAAATTAATAAAGACCCCAAAAGTTGGCATCCAGCAAACCGGTCAGACAGGAAGCAGGGAGACCCAACGTGGTAACCAATGGTCTCCTTCGTGTGCTCTCCAATCAGCACGCCGACTGCCGCAGCCGGGAGCCGCGCGGCGTCATCTCCGAGGGGGGGGCACTCCAGCGTGGGAGCCATTAGCCGCCGGCAGACAGAGAGGCGGCCGCAGGCTGACGTGAAGAGATGAGCATTCTACAGTAAACAAATCGCCTTCAGGAGGCCCATTCCGAGGCCTGCTGCCACGTGCATGCACAGCTTCGATGTTAAGCAGCGCTCCGCTCTTGACAGTCGCTGTGCGGCGTTTCTGCGCGCCGGGGTGACGCTGACGAGGAACAGGAACGGGACCAAAGAATCTGGGCAAACGTCCATACTGTGGTGGGGATTGTTTTGTGCCGATATTCATTTGTTTACTCGCCAGGATGCTGAAATCACTGAAAACCATATCTCACCTAAACCTACATGTTTTCCTGCAGTTGAAAAGGAATAGTATGGAAAATATAGGTCTGTTAAATATCAGGCTAAAGCTAGGGGATGGTTAGCTTAGCTTAGCACAGAGACTGGAACCATGGGGAAACAGCTAGCCTCTGTTCCTGTAAACCTGATGTGCTGTGAATCACCAAATACATATTTCACAATAACGGAGCTCGACATGATTGCTGGCTACTGAAATGATGGACTCGTGATCAGAATTTAAAAAGGAGTTTTAAAGACTGTCTGGCTGCACCTCACGGCGAGGGACCCCCCGGTGAGTCGGACCGGTTCCAGAGCGATGTTGAACAAAAGGCTAATATCTGTCCGGTGCATCATCTTTACTCAGAAGAGCGTATTTAAATAACACGCCAATGGAACATTTGTGAAGCTACAAAACAATAAAGTGGGACTGCGGCCCCTGGTGTCGACGTGATGTTGGACCTGGTCCTTGAACCCGTAGCAGAATGATTCGCTTTTGCGTTCACAGAAGTGTGTCTCAGAGATGAGAAACACTCGTGCGTTAATCACTTACAAATGGTCAGAGCCTCTTACTGAGGCCGATAAATAAAAGTAAGAAAGACTCACGTCTCCTGCAGCGTTGGGACGCTGAGTGAAGCCAGATGCTGGTTCATCAGCCACAGTAAGTACAGTCCAACTCCCTATCGATGACTGTTTGTGTATTTATTCACTGACAGACAGCACTGCGCTTGAAGTTGATCATAAGCAATCTTATTAGATGGGTCTCCTGCAGGAACCAAAGTGCTTCAGCCAAGAAGAGACGAGAATGCGCCTGAGCCAAAGGAGCACAGTCACCATGAAAGGACATGCCTGTATGTATTCTGTATATATATATTATACATGGACATAAACTAAATTCAAATGTGTGCCTCAGAGACAGCAAATTCTCCATTAGTTCTCCCTCATGTCCCCAAACTGTTCATAGAGAGTCCGTGGACTTTGTTACATCACAAAACCTATTTCCACTTGGCGAGCTTCACACTCCTCTTCCTGGATAAATCAGACTCAGCAACTAAAAGTCTACAGTATGAAAACGTTATTATCCAAAGATGAGGAGCAGGAAGCACCAATATGAAAAAGGGCTGCGCAGCCAATAATAAAAAATAAAAAAAAGCTGAGGGTTGTTCCAGTTTGCCGTAATCAGAGCGGTCTGCGTAAAAAGGCACACTGGTCCAGGGCTGTTAATACTCTCCAACATTTAGCTATGACACACACACACACACACACACACGGACGTGAGTCTTACTTCCCCGTGCAGACCACTGACTCCTGAGCATCTCCACACGTTTCCCACAGCGAGAGAGGTTTTCTCTGGCAGCCGGCCGAGACCGGAGCACAAAACTCCCAAAACCTCCGGCTCCATAAAGCAGCGGCGGGTTTTACTGGCTGGCTGGACGAGGGCAGGCGAGGGAACGAGCCCTCGGGCTTCATCTGTGGCACACACTGGAATTTCGGTGTAATTGGAATACAAAAGTGCACTGTAAGGGGTTTTGGCTTCCAGTGTCAGAGTATGATAGGAAAAAAAAAAAAGGGGCGGAAAAAAGAAAAAAGAAAAAAAAAAAAGAGTCAAGAACAGCTGCAAGCAATATATGTGTTTGGTGGCTTCCAGAAGAGCCAAGATGATTGGTTTTATTAGCTGGATTTCTTTGGCTCTCCTTGTTTACTTTTGGGGGGATCCGAGTGTATTTGAGGTTAACACGGACTTGATCAGAGGGGCCAAGATCCCACCTGAACCGATGTGGTCACAGTGCGTCTTGAGCCAGGGAGCCGGTCCACGCCCAGCAGAGATCCCGCATTGCCGCAAATCAGCAGGAAGAACAACAGCTTTTTTTTCCCATGAATCCGCGGCTCATGACTCGAGGAGACGGCGAGCGGAGGTCTTCCTCCTTTCGAGTCCTCCCCTGTATTACTACACTGGATGGAGATTCCTTCAACACACCAGCTGGTTTTACGCAGTCGGCGCTGTCCGATCGCATATCAGATTGTTGGTAAATCATTTTAAACTCTTACCGGTGTGTGTGTGTGTGTCTTAATAAGAGAAAAAGCTGCAGACAAAAGGTGTTCCCGCGTTGCGTGACAGTTGTGTTCCAATTAGCACTCTTCTGGCATTTGAAACCTGACTTTACTTTGACTTTAACCGTACCGATGCACAGTTTCATCTTGTGCGATTCAGTACGATTCTGACAGCAAACCCGCATAAGGACCAGTGCGATGATAAATTGCCAAATGCAATTTAGGCAAAAAACGGGCCTGTCTTTTTCCCTCGAGCTTTTGTTTTCCTCGACAGATGTTGCCTGTGAAGTAACTCAGCAGAGATTCCCTTTGCAAAGCTCATTGTCCTCGCTCTCATTTCATCCAAAAGGAAAATGTTACCTGCGAGGAAATTTCATTTCAATTTATTTGAACAGCGCAGTAAACCTTGAAAATGAATGTCCTTTGTTTAAGTCGTTGTGTCCCACAAATGCTGTTTATTAATTAAAGTAGGAAGGTTGTGAAAGATTGTGTGAGGCCTGCTGCACGTTGGAATCAGCCAGCTAGCAATCACTGATCCACAAACACGGTCAACATCAGTCAGTCGTCTTCTAAACCACTACACCCTTAAAAGGGTTGCAGGGGTCAATCCGGGGCCAGTATATCGCAGGGCCGACATAAAGACAGACGACCGTTCGCTCTCCCATTCACACACACTTCACAGGCAATTCCGGCGTCACCAATTAGCCCATCGCACATGAACCCACGAAAGGCTTTAAAATGGATCCTGGCGACGAGCACGACGCAATGTTCATCGGTTACGGAAGCATCAAATGTGTCATTTAGCCTCGAACACGAAGTGCTGCTTAGGGTCTTTTTATGGGATTTATCGAATATAAAATAAAGTAGAAAATCAGCAGGTTTATTCTCTAATGGAGGAAGGTGTGAAAGTTTGACGATACTCCACCAACATGAAAAAATATTCCCATGGGGGGGGAAATAGAACCGATCACGGTTTTAAACAATGTGGAAAAACAAAGTCAGTCAGTTAATTTCACACTCTGCGAAGGAGGAGAACCAAAAAGCTCTCACCACCTTGTTTATGCGTAATTACTGTTTGGGGGGGGGGGGTGCAAGGCTGAGGCCAAGGATACAATATACAAGGCCCTGGAGAAAAAGATCTGCTAACCCTCACTGGGCTGTCAGGATAACCCAGTTCTAATGTAAACTAATAACCCAGAGAACTAAACCCACAACCAGGACATTTCACTGGATCTGTCCCCCAGAAAGAGTGAAGGGCACAATGTGCATTTGAAAGGAAGCATGTAAAACCTTCCTTCCTTTGGGAGGTCTGCGGTATCGAAAAAATAAAACACGAGTATCTTGACTCTCTGGGGAGCCCGAGCCACAGGTGTGCTCTTTGAAGCCTGCAAAATGTCAGGCATTAGGCGGCCGACAGAAGGCCGCCGCGGGCGCGTCGGGGCTGAGCGGGTGTACGTTTCGTTTAGGGATCCTCGGCAAACACAAACTCCAAATCACATGGAAAACGAAAACAGTTTTGAGAAGGGACAGGAGAGCAGCAAACACGATGTAAACTGAGAGGCGTCTGACGGACGCCGGTTACTTCCCCGTGGATTCCTCGCGGGGTAAACACACGAGTTGGGGAACTAAGCGGATTGTCTACCTCGCGTCCATCTTGGCCGTACAGTCCAGGGGGGCCGACGGCACCGGGCTCTCCCTGGGGAAAAGGAAACAAAAGGAACAAAATCAGGCCACGTTTAAAACGACCATCATTGGAATAATCAAGCAGCTGTGTTGACGACATGCATACTTTGAGTCCTTTTGGGGCGTGACCAGGTGACTGTCCGTAATCTCCTTTTTGTCCCTGGAACACAGAAAACAAACACAACGTTTTCTTATCGTTTACCGCAGATCCTCCGCCTCCGCCTCACGCGGCGGCAGAGGAGTCCGCCGCTTACGTTTGCGCTAATCGAGGAGTGACGGGTTCCTCCTACTCATTGGTGAGCCGAGCGGCGGTTTTATTTACAGAAAAGCGTGCCCCATTTATGCCGCGCCGGGACTCGGTTTACACCCAGGCCGGCGGGAAGTCACGGTGGGGAGCGATCCTGTGCATTCTTCTCCCTTTTCGGGCAGTGGGAACCCTGTCGCCGCTTTCCGAGTCGGTCTGCAGAAATCTACACGATTAGAACGCGAGAGGGCCGCTCATCGTGTAAAGAACTGACGGAGGAAGACGATTGGACTGCAATCAAGCAACTGCTGCTAGGTGTTCCCACACATTTCATTTAATAAAAAAAGAACCTTTAGGCATGCAGAGAAGCAGATCTCACCAGGCGCCTTTTTGGGGATTTATTTGTGCAAAAGGAAGAAGTTCAGTCCAGCGGAAAGAAATTGCACGGCTTCGAAAATAACTTTATTTAACTGGGTTACTGGAAAAAGTACAACAGGAGTTCCCATCTCCAGCACATTGGCCCGTTTAAAACCTACGTGTGTTCCTGACAGCAACAGCTTGGCATGGAGAGGAAAGTCTTTGTGGGGATTTTCTAAGCGGGAGGACGGACACTCAGAGGTGTTTTCATCTCAACCACTAAATACAGCAAACTCAAAGAGAAGCTAAATGAAGTCATTCCTTCTGAACGCCGAAGACCGTTGGAAGCAATTGTTTCGTACGCATTCAACTCTTAATTTTTTTTTTTTTAAGAAAGGATACGGTGACATCGTTCGCTATCGTCTCGCCCAGACGCTGTAGTGGCGGCGGGTCGTGATCCTTTGATTCGGGCGACGACGCGCGAGTAGCTGGGCCCCGAAAAGCGCGACCCGGATTCGACAGCGTGAGTTGTGTGAGAGCTTGTAAACGGATTACCGATGGTAAACCTGGCTGCCGCTTACTTCGGCTCATCGGGGGATTTACGCTTTCTTTGCCATTCAAATGTTGCTGCTAAGGGTCCCTTAGGAATCCCTTTAAACCTACTGGTAGGCTTCTCATGTTAGTGGGTCGTTAATCGTCGCCCCATCTACATGTCGGCTTGTCACGTCCAGATAGAAGCATCCAAAAGCCGAATCAAGCTTACACACGGCGTTTTGGATCCAGCGAGTGGAGAACTGTGCCAGACCCGACTGGCCGCTGACTGAGGTCCAACTGAGCAGAGCCAAGTTTGGTTAGACAACACAAATGCACTATATGATTCTTCCCCCCCCCACGTTAAAGCAGGCCAAATTATGGTACCAATTATGTCGTTTTAGATGTTCCGAGAGTGGTAAATGCTCAAGTTCGACCCAGTGGAACGGATCGGGAGCGTTTTCCACTTTAGTTTTCCGTCATAGTTTAAGACTGTGATATCAGACTGACAGGATTTGGAGCTGAGCAGCTCGCTGTGTTGACAATTCAAATCAGCTGGAGCAGACGGACTGATGTCAAGTACTTGCAAAATTAGTGAGTCGGAAAGGATTAAAACGGCTTTTCTCCCCCGAAGGGGAAACCAATGGCTTCTTGAGAGGCGAGACGAGACGCGATGTGAAGCCAAGAGCCTCCGACCCTCAGACGGGCAGACACAGAGGAATCGCAAACCAACACAGGAGTGACTTTCTTCAAATTTGCATTGTTGTTTAAATGCTTGTTTCTTTGGTTAGATACAGACCATAAAACGCTCTGTCGTGTCTCATTTTAGTATTTTATTTATTTAGCGAGTCATAAATCACCCCTCAGGATCCAGCCGATAGTCTGTGATCACACAATGGAGAGGAACTAACTTGAATGCTCGCTGCGTTATCTCAACAGAAGATGTAATCATTTTGTTTTGCCAATTCATCATTGACTGAGAGTGTGGACCGGATTCCCTGCTGTGTTTCTCTTTGAGCAGAACCATGATCAGTTTGGTGAGGGGACTTTTGTTCTCGATATGGGGGCGGGGGAATTAGGATGGGGGGGGGTGGGCATAGATACACACAAAGATCAGTTTGCTCTTCCTTCCAAAATGCAGTGGGTTAGAAACAAACTCATCGATCCGTACCTTCGCTCCAGGAGTTCCGGGAGGACCGGGGTTTCCGTGAGGTCCCGGGGGACCCTAGAAAAGACAGAGACACACGAGAGGAAGTCACTGGCTGGATAGGCGATCGCCGTCGAACAGAGCGGCGAGCTGGAACTATTTGCGGGGGTCTGCGCTGGTGCGCCCGGGGGATGGCCGCGCCCCGAGGTCGCCCCTTGTGGATGTGGTGTGCAGGTGCTACGCGAGACGTTCTGCGTCCGCCCGCCCATCCAAGTGGGGACACATGGATGTGATTCGCCGCCCCCCCGCTCATCCCTGTACTTTTCCGCAGCTCTCTCGGGGTCCCACAAAGCGAATGCCGCTCATCCATCACGGCTTGATCCCCAAATGGCTTCGTGCCGCAGGCCGCAGGTATCTGTGATGTATGAAGCGCTTAGATGTAATTCATTGAGCCATCTGCGCTTTAATGCCTGATCAAAATGGCCCATCTCCTGCGAGTCGTGCCAAGTGGGTGGACGTACGGGAGCAGGGGAGGAGGAGGCCAAAGAAGAAACGGAAAAAAAAAGAGACTGTACAAATTCAAGGCGGCAGAGAGGGATTGTTTTGGAGGAGAAAAAAAAAAAAGTCATATAAAGCCGCCAGCTCCCGAGGCCTCCTTGTAAGGATGCTCGGTCTGACTTCGCCCACACAACACACCAAAAAAATCTTTACCTGGCTAAACTGACAGCACTGGAACATGTTCAGAAGGCCTGAACAGGATGCAGCTGGCTCTTGGACTCCACCCTCCACCACGAGGTGAAAGTCAAACAGACGGAGGAGGTCGACGGTTGGGTGATCCAATCCATCTCTGTTAGTCATCCGCACTGAATTATCAGGACTGTGGAGAGGAGTCAGGCAGCACCAGGCAACCCCCCACACCCCCCACTCTCCCCCTCAAACAAGCCAGAGCTCTCCCCTCGCTCGCATCCGGACATATGGAGACACTTACCAGAAGCTCATTGACATATTTCCTCCTCCTCTACATTCTCCTCCCTTTTCCTTTGCCTTGGCTCAGTATGTAAACGTATGGGGGTTGTTATCCGGGTGGTAGGAAGCAAAGGGACGAGGGGGACGTAGAGAAAACGGGAGGTCTGGAGAGAATGTTACACATTGCATTTCTTGAGGTGCCACAAGGTGAGGAGGCGTGCGGCCGGGGTGACGAGGTGGGCGGGCCTCGTGCGCAGACGGACCCGGTCGGTCCATCCTCGTGTGGGCGACGTGGATCCTTTTTGTTTGATTTAATTAATGAATTAATGACGAGAGCTCCGGACAGGCAGACATAAAGTATTCAGCACACACTCGCACACACACACCTGAGGCCTGCACACGTATGCCAGAGTCGCCAGGCGGTTTACGATGCGGGCCGATGACTTTTACAGGTGTGACACATGGAGCGCTACCGTTTTTATAGGCCGTTAACCCCCGAACAGACCTGCCCGCGCCGCCACCGGGCTGCACGAAGGGAAGCCGCCAGCGGCCCGATGATTACTCGCCACGGTGCGACTTATTCTGGCGGGATCCTCGGCGACTCATTTATCTATTAAGTCCATTTGTCGAGCTTCGACTGGCTTGTGTCAAGTACCTCTTGGCAATAAATTACTGATTGTTCGCAGTAGGTTTCCTGCAAACTTCCTTCCTTTGGTCCTTGAGGTTTCAGAAGGTGTCGACAACTACTCAAATGAATTAACTTTTTCTGTCTGTTTTGATTTAAAAAATCTAAAGATTTAAAGATGTTCACATTTTTACTGCTGGCGCTCAGGATCAATTCAAAGATAATGAACAAAACTGACTCCCGGGATCTTCTGTGAACCTCCTGACACATAACTAAAACGACTCCATTAATATGCTCCTGATTAGCTTTAGCGCGGGAAATAGCCGACGCGTCAGTGTGACCCATAAAGACAGAAGGCACTTGATTAAACCCCTGAGAAGACAGCTCATTTGAGCCCACACAGAGCGCTCCTTTCAGAAGGATTTCAATTTTAAAACACAGATAAAACCGTGGTCGGGGGAAGGCGGTGGTTCGGTCTCAGAGGCAGCGCCCCCCGTGGCGCCGGGTCGCCCCGAAGCTTCAGCCCCTTTTGCGATGAGTGAGAATACATGGTTTACTTTCTACTTCAAATGAGACGGGTGTCTTCCAAAGATTTAAGCGCTCTGCAAACACGGCAGTTCTGATGAGGGTCAACGAGGAAGATCACAAGATGGAAGAAACCAAATCTGCTTCTGGTGTCTTTAGCAGTTTTTCCAGTATATTTATTTAATAATTTAATAGCATCCCTAGTGCTTTCCTAGTAAAGACCATGTGTACTACACAGCCTACAGTCAAAGCAGATTAATATAATATATATGTTAAATTATGTTAATGCAACGCTACTAGCTAATGGCCAACGGGCTGTTGCATGGGAACAGAGACGTTAGTACGTCCACTAAATAGAGAAAAACACAGCAAGAGCAAATAATGGGGGAAAAACTGAAAACGCTACTCCTAATCAACTTTTTTTGGATATGAAAGTATGCTATGTGCAAAATACAAAACCCTCTGCTCATGTAAAAGCTGCTTTCACTCCCACCTGAACTGCCCCCTCGGCGTGTTTCTTTCGTTTTGTTTTTTTGAGCCGGTGCCGCATGCAATCGGCTCTAAGGAGCTTGATGGCGAGTGAACTCTGCAGAGGTCGGTGCTCTACCAGCACGGAGCTGCTGAGCCCCAGACGGGGTCTTAAGTGCCTTTAATAAGAACACAAAGCCCCCTTTCTTCCTCCTTTTAAAAGGGATTGTGGTTGCCGCAGCCCACCGCGCCGCGGCCCGGCTGCAGCGCCCGCCGGGTAGCTCATGCCGAGGGAGCAACCGTTTCGCTGCGGGAGAATCCCTCAAAAAGGTAGTAAAGGTAGTGTCTGCAAAACATATGCGTGCATCCACTTTTCCACATCCAATTTTCAGTTTTTCAGCTACACTCACACACACGACCATCAGTTGAAGTTCCCTGGATTTTAAAATATCAGGTCCCTTGGACAAATCATGTGCGCGGTGTCTTCCTTCCTGAGCTTGAAATAACATCTCACCCCCCCCCTCAGGTTCCATCGGCAGCTCGTGGTCGTAGAACTGGCACTTTGCTCCACAAATGGGAGATACGGCACCGACAGACTGGAAGCATTCACAGATGCTAACGTGGTAGCTGTGCCCAATTTAAGTGCTGCGGCCTCCAGTGCACGGGAATAAAGTACTTTGCTTTGGAAATGCATGTTTACATATCTTCACCCACTAAAAAGCGCCTCATTTTTTTCACCTCGACCCCAATACCTTCCATGTGTGTTCGATACATTTTCTACCCCTGGCATCCCAGTGATTTGTTGCACACGGGTTTGTTTTTGCACTCCAGCTTTTTTGCAAATGGACCTTGGCAGCGAAGGAGCGCAGTTCGATCAGAGCCGGAGCCAAAAGCCAACTAACGTCTGGCTGGATAATGCTCCGTAATCCAAACGAGTCACCGAGGGCGTCCGCCGCCGGCGTCGCCGCCGTCTCGCTTTAATGGCGATCGGACGTGATTAACTCGTCATTGAGACGCGGTGGGACACGCCGGGGAAGACTTCGAAGGGGAAAATGAAAAGGTGGTAAAGGGAGAACAGAAGGAAGGGAGGGAGGAAACTCACCCTGGGACCCCTCTTCCCCGGCTTTCCTGGCAACCCTTGAAGTCCTTGAAGGCCCTGAAAAGAAGGAAACATGAGCGGTGTCAAGGACGAAGGGAAGCAAGTCTAGTCTCTGCCTTCTAGCCGTGTCACTCCAAGTCGCTCTTTGATACCTTCGAATAGCAAAAGAGAAAGAAACCTGGATATTCATCAGTCGATACAGCTCAGGTTTCTGCACTGGCAGGGAGGTCAATGTAAGGGAACCCGAGTTTTGCTTTGAGATGTTTGATCGTTCCTTATTTTCCAAGTCTTGGAGGGGACCAACAACTATAATTACACTCTTTCAGCCAGCATACACTCTGACAAGGCCAGAATGCTTTCAGCAACCTTTGGACCCTTCAGACAGCCGCCGCCAGGCCGTGCACACAACATGATAAGTGCTTGAGCTGCTCGGGCTCAGCTCGGGTCGGGAACGCATGCGGATTATAGGAAATAACAACCCAGTCATGACTTTATTTGTGCCTCAATCATTATTAAACTAGAACAATCAAGACAGTTGATGACCTCGATCTACTTCTGCAAAAGATGAAAGAATACAGGTTTCACACTACCTCAGTTTAAGGTGTTTCCCAAATAGTTAGTTGAATCCTGGGCTTAATTAAATATCCACTTTTAATCTGCAAGGTTAAAAGTATATCCAATATATTTATGCAAAGCGAAATCACGGATATCGTCACCCTTACGATGTGCCCACATGTTTACATTCTCATTGAACAAGAGAGAGAGAGAATAGGAGGACGATTTGTCATTAAAAATAATAGGTTATTTTTCATTTAAATGTCTGGAAGAGCCGAATAATAAATGTGTCGTTTTAGTCAACTTCGTAAAGAGACCACGGCCCATTAATGTCGAGCATAATCGCAGTGAAACAATGTCTCCTTGTCATCACTGAAATGGAACAACGTTTTGCCTGACAATGGCCCTGATGTATAATCTATACCTGCCTGAGCAGTCTGTGGAGCCTTTACGCTAATAGAACGGTGACCTTTAACACACCCCAGGGACAAATGAGTTACAGCGCTTCTGGCTTGGACAGAGCTGTGGGTTCCAGAGCAGCGATGCTTTACTTGAAACATTCTTTTCGGTCAAAACAAGACCGAGAAGTCCTTTTAACGATGGAAAATGTGGGTAACCATCTCGTGTTCAACAGCGGATCAGTGTCTTCAGCGTGAACACAGTCCACAGTCGAAACTCGTTGATGGCGACGGCTTTCCCCCGTCAACTCTTTGCTGTGAGTTAATTAAATTACTTAAATTTAGTATTTGCTGCAGTGAGATGTGAGCAATAGCGTCAGTAAAGGTGAAGACAACACAACAGCTTTAACCTGGATAGAGAACTGCTTTTACATAAAATTCAGTTCATTGTGCTCAAGAGCTTTATGCTTTTTTTAACCTTTGACCCCATTTTAAAAGTACCCATTCTTTGAACTGTCGCGCTTTCTCTCAGAGGAATCTTAACACCTCAGCGCCGGCTCCTCCGCTCAAAGCCGCCTCTGAACACGAGTATTTCTACCACTGCTGCTAAAAAGAAAAATCACACATTAAATCGCCAAGAAGTGGACGGCCCCAGAGAGCCTTTAACACCAAATGCAGTTCAAAAAGTGAATAGAATACAGCGATCCCGAATCGTTAACGCAGCGACACACCATTGTCAAGTAAGCAAACACGTCAGGGAAGTTGTGTGTCATTGCGATCCAAATAAATTGGTGGGAAGTACTGAAATATAGCAGTCGAGAGGTAAAACGTGCATTTATTAAAGATAATCACGAGTGTAAAGAAGCGCTCATTGTGGCTGATGAAACACGCACACACTCTCGTGCCCGGGCATCAAGCGCATGTCGCGTGGGGACTCACCGCGGGTCCTGGTTCTCCCTTTAGTCCAGGCGGTCCATCCAGCAGCGAGAAGGCGGTCGATTCCAGGAGGAACATTTGGAGGACTTCCGTTGCCGCGGTGATGACAGGAAGAGGTGAAGTGGCCTCGACATCCTGGACACTGCTCACTTTCGGCTCGGGGGTCGTTGGAGCTCCGGTGGCCGGAGGGTCCGGCTGCAGCGCGTTGGCGGGTCGGGCGGAAGAAGAAGGTAAATCCGTTACTCCGGCGGAAGGCTTCGGCGAATCAGCGTCTCTTCGCCCTGTGGCGCTCACGTCACTGCCGGCGGAAGTCGGTTCGGGCTCCGCCGGCGTCCCGCTGGTACGAAAGTCCGCTGGACTGGCCGACCCCGGGGGAACCGACCCAGAAACAAGCACGGCACCGGGCTTTAGGCGGGTGGATGCCGCGCTCGTCGTCGACGGGCCATCGGCCCTTTTGGACATTTCCATCGACGCCGGTTGAGTCGGAAAAGGGGCCCCGATGGAAATGACAGGCAGCATGGGTGGAAGCGCGGGCCGATACGTGTCGGCTTCTCTGCACTGCTTCTTAATGTAATCGCAATAGTTATGAGCCGCCTCGGCGGACGGATAGATGTCGAACTGGCAGATGGCGCCTTCGAACGCCACCGAGTTGTGGTTCATTTTGCCCAGCAGGAAGGAGCCCTCCGCATCCAGAGCCTCCTCCTTTCTGGAGCGCAAATCCAGGTGGGTAACTCGCTCCCCGCAGGAAGTGTGCAGGGACACCCGGCGGCCCTGGATGCCCACAGCGAGACTGTGCCACCGGCCGTCCTGGACGTCGTAGTCGAAGACCACCGAGCTCCTCTGCCCGACGCGCACCAGGACCTTTCCCCGCAAGAACTGCACGCCGAGCTGCACCTTCCCTTCCGTCGACAGGGCCGAGAAGAGGAAGGCGCCGTTGACCCGGTGAACGGACAGGCCGAGGATCAGGGAGAGGTTGGCGGGGCTGCACGACGCCGGGAGGACGGCGCGCAGGGGCGCCTGGAGGCGGGCCCTCGGGGTGAGGATGACGCCGGACTTGAAGGGGATGACGCCGTTGGGGACGGGGCGATTGCTCGAGGTTGACGAGCCGCCGGGCCTTCGCCCGGAAAGCCCGAGCTGCTGCAGAACGTCCACATCTGCGGACAAAAAGGGCGAGAAAAGTCACTCACCGGTAGCATCCAAAGATGCTGAACGTGTATTTGCCATTTTCTTTGCACGCACTACTCATGTTCTTCCCCAAATGACCATAATTTACCACTTTGGCGAAGGCCCAGACCGCAGAGGGCTTTACAGAGGACAGTCAAAATAAGGCTAAATGCATAGCACGTTTAGGTTCATAGGTTCCCCTAAATAAAAAACAAGAAAGCAGTTAATATAGGGGATAATGATGTTGTGGGGCCATGCATTTAAAGTTAAGATAATGGAAATCCTGCGGCAAAGGCTGCATAGAATTTCCGATACGGCCACACCTCAACAAGCCGCTCTGGTTATTTCCGTAAATGATGTAATCGTTACATCAGCGCCAATTAGCAGATCTTTGGGAAGCGGGCGGCTGAAAGTTCCAGGAGGCACATTAGTGCGGAGACAGAGAAAGCCACGTGACTTTATCCGCTGATGTACGGCGGTGGCGTCGACATAAAAAAGGGTCGCGCAGTGTTTCCTGCAGCTTTTAATTGCTACTTGCATGTCAGGGAGGCAAATGTGGCGATTCGTCACACATTGAAGTCTGTAAGTCTGTATTGCTGCAATTTCGGATGCGGAGCTCTATGTGAGGCCGTAATTATATCCACATTTTGTAATGGTGAGACTACTATGAGCGTCAAGGGTGTAACCATGTTGGACACTACGGCCGACTGGGTGTATTCAGTGTAGTGAGGTTGGAAATGAAAGAAAAACTAAAATATTACACACAGGCTCCACCATCCGTCCTCTTCCGGACTATAACACAAATCGAATGTGTGCAAGACTGAAATAAACTGCTAAAATGATGTATTCCGACTCAGCAGAGAAGGAACAAGTATATAGACACTAGACATGGGGGGGGGGAGGCTCAGTGTGTGCAGACAGTGGGAGGTCAGCTCGATAAAAAAAAAAAAACACACATGCAAATGGAGAAATCCAACAGATAGTGAGAAGCTCCTGGGCTGAATTTCCCACAGAGCGCCGGTTGGAATTGTCAGCGCGCTGAGAGGAAGGCGCAGGGATTCCTGATCTGCGTCTTACGCTGGATACCTCCGAATCCTAGCAGCCCGCGCCTTTTCTGTGACCCCTCTAACCAGCCGATATCATTCATCATTTAGGATATCATTATGTTCTCAGTTACACTTTTCCCACGGCTCATTCAAATGGACCCGAGAGCAACGGAGGAGCTCGACTCCCAACATCGGGGAGCACAGTCCTGGGGTGTGCGCCTTCATCTTGTTACGCATGAATTATTTACAATCATTATAACCGCTCTCTGCCCCAGATGGCATCAATTGCCACTAACCAGTAACCACGGAGCTGCTGGTTTGATTCTCGGCACGACTGTGTTGATGACATGTGATGAATATACTGTATATGTGAGCCAGTAATGGAAGAAAGTGAGTATTGTTTGCAGGATCACCTCCCTGGCTTGTGATGTCATCGCTTTATTTTGTATTTGATCAAAAAGGCGTCTAAAAGCTCGGTTTGACTGACAGCGGAGTCAGACAGAAACATGCACACGAGGGTCTTTTTAATGAATTAACAGAAAGCCGTGTGCATCAGCTGAATGTGTGACGACGTGAGGAGACTTTGGGAATCAACGCACACCGGGAGCTTTTCCCGCGAGACCTTGAAGGCATCAGAGAGAGAGAGAGAGAGAGAGAGAGTTGTGTGAGGCTCGTTCGCTGGGCCGTTTCCAACCTCAGAAGCTGTTCAGAAATGACATCATCAGCAAAGACATTTCACATAGCGGTCATGTTCGAGGAATGCCCCACTTCAAGCCGGTGTGTCTGACGCTCCCGCCGAGAGCGTGGGACGGCGTGAGAGCGGAGTACGTCGTGGGAAAATAAAAATAAAAAAAGGGTTCTACTCTAGTTACAAACTAGATCCAGTGCAGGTGTTTGAGTGCACGAACATCCACTTCTTTTGGGCCCCGACGGATCAAACAGTGACGCTAACGGAGAAACCGGCTGACCGAGCCGTTGATGGGAAACATTGACGCTGATCACTGGACAAACAAGGTGGACGTTTCAGTAGACATAGAATTAATGACGACTGATGATAACGTAACCCCCCCCCCCCTGTTTAAATGTCCTCTCGCTGTCTACGAGGCCTATTTGAGACTCTACATGGCGTTGGCGCGCGTCGGCGTCCTCGTCCCGAAGGCGCTTTACCTTGAGCTTGTGCTAGCCGCAGAGAGCAGGCGCAGCAGAGGACGGTCCAAAGGATCAGAATCCTCCTGGAGGGGAAGACAGAGAGGAGAGAAAATTAGAAAATGTAGTATGGAATTGTACTACAAAGTCACGTTTCAGGACAACAGGCTTTTGTTCCTCGGCCTCAGGTCCCGTGATGCACTTTTTCGACCGCGGGTTTTGAAAATGTTGGAGCGGATGTTACCCGATCCTTCAACTAGACTGTTTTTACTTTAAATCGTTCTCGCCCCACTAACGAGAGCGTTGATCGTTCTCCCTCGGAGACGATTCTAAAGGGTGTTGAGCTGTGTGAACTAATCGGGGGGGGGGGCGGGTGCTGATGCTTTGGCCTGTTGACTGAGCGATGGTTGGAGCCGACCCGGGCCGGGCGACAATGTGCCACAGCGGAGGAATCAGTTACGTTCTATTACATTCACGGGTTTCCCAAAGAGCCGCAGGAAGCCACAGGTCAACTACTGACACGCCGACTGCGGCTCTTGTTACGGCCCACCCACCGTGGTGACACACTGACATCAGCAGAAACTAAGGAAGAAGGGGGAGAATGTGCAGAAGGGGGGGGGGGGGGGGGGAAAAAAAAACTCCGTCCCCCTTCGCCCCCGTTTCCCCGGAATCAGGGCCCAAACGCCTGGAAACACGAGCTGGTAAAAAACGGGGCGTCGCGAAACCCCCCCCCGAAAAGAGAAAAGGGGTTCCCTTCACAGTAAACACAATCCATTGGGGCAAAATAAACCCCTTGTCCCCTTTAAACTTTCAAAAACGGGGGAAAGTAAGTCCCGGGGACCGGGGAACCAAGCCTGAAGGGGCCCGGGACACCGGTGAGTGCGGAACCCCCCGCCCAGGCCACCGGGAGGAACAACACGAAACAAGAATAGCCTTAAAAGGATCGACTCACTCCACCGTGCCCTTGAGGCCCGGGGAGAGGCCGATGTTCAGGTCCTCTGTGGGTACTTTAATGTTACTTGTGGATTTTGTCCCCTCGCACTGCCCGGTCGAAGAGAGATCAAGCTGTTCACTTGCTCAATTGTATTGATAACCAAAATATAAAGCCATATACACACCCAAACTGGGGAGAAAGTGCCTCGCGACAACCCAGTTTTCTCTTCCG